TAGTTTCTGAGAAAAGGTTGAAATCCCCAAATATGATCGTCAATCTTTCTGTTTATCTTTTTAGTTCCATCAGTGTTTGCTTCATGAATTTTAAAGTTCCTTTGAGTGTACATACACTTAATGTTATGTCTTCTTAATGAATCAAGTGCTTTAATATTATGAAATGTCCTTTAACTCAGGCAATATTTCTTGTTGTGGTATGGACTTTCTTAATATAGCTACTGTGTTCTTTATGCTTGTATTTTTGCAGGGCTTAGGTTAGTATGTTTCCATAGCCTATGTTTTTCTATTCTTACCAATCATGTATATTTTTATATTTAAATTGAGTTTCTCTAGACAGCATATAACTGGAGTTTTACAACTGTTTGCATTTCACATATTTGTCTGTGTGGTTAATATTGAGATCATCACTTTGTAATTTTTGCTGGTTTTCTTCTCTGTACTTTGTTCATTGGTTTTTACTTTTTAAATTAATCAAATATTTTATCTTTACAACCTGCTTATAATACTTCTTTATTTGAAAGTTGCTTTAATTTATCATAGTCTATTTTCAAATACTATTATAGCATCTTTAACAACAATGTGCCTCCATATTCCTATCAGGCATTTTAAAAATGAGAAAATATCAGTTTACATACAAAATATATCTTCACATAGTTCTGGAATACTATCCCTTTGTTTCAATCCTGATTTCCATCTGGTATTTTCCTTTAATCAAAAGAACTTCCTTCATCATTTCTTGTGGAATAGTATCTGCTGACATTTTTCTCACCTTTTGTTCGTCTGAAAAAGTTATTTTACCTCCATCTTAAAAGGTTTTTTTTGTTGTTGTTGTTGTTGTTGTTTTTTTTTTTTTTGGTTTGTTTGTTTGTTTGTGTTGATTTTCAGTACATGGCCTTGCACATGTCAGGCAATGCTCTACCACTGAGCTACATCCCAGCCCTTTTATTTTGAGACAGGGTCTCTTTAAGTTGCACATACCAGCCTTGAATTTTTGATCCTCTTGCCTCAGCGTGCTAAGTAACTGAGATACAAGTGTGTGTCACCATGCCTCGCTTCAAAGAATATTTTGGTTAAATTTTCTAGGTTTACATTTTTCCCCCCAGCTCTTTAGTTGTGCCATTTTCTTCTGGCTTCGTCGTTTCTAATGAGAAATCTGAGTTCATTTTTTTATTTCTTTGAATATAATATAACTTTTTTCTTCAGATCACTTTTAAGATTATCCCTTATCATTGGTTTTTAGTGATTTGGTTTTAATATGCTTTGGTATAGGATTTTTGGGCTACCCTGTCTTTTTCTTTCTATGCTTCATTTTGGATACTTTTTATCACAATGTTTTCAAATTTTAGTCATCTTTTGTACAATCTGCTAATATTATCTGGTATAATTTTAATTTCAGAAGTTGTTTTATATCTTAGATGTTCCAACCAGATCTTTTCTTATATCTTAATTTTCTCTCTTCATTTGCTATTCTCCCTTAAATATTTGTGCATAGTTATAATAGCTGTTTAATGTTCTTCTTTTTTTTCTTCACTAATTCTGTCATGGTTATAATTTCAAGGTCTGATTCTTCTGGTTATGAATCCCTGTTTGTTTCCCGGCATGTTTAATGAGTTTTGACTGGATGATGGACATTGTGAATATATGTTGTTGAATCTTGGGCTTTGTTACCTTTCTTTAAAGAGCATTATATTACTGCTGCTCCTGCTCCTCAGTTTGAGTTCTTGGAAGCTTAATCTTAAGTCTTACTAGAATACTCCTAGGATAACCTTACTTCAAGTACAGTTCAAACCTACTAGTAAGGTATAGTCCTCTGAGGCCTCCATAGAATAACCCAGATCATTAAAGCCTTTCCATTTTTGGCTGGTCAGAGTTGTACCATCTTCCTGCCATGTATACATTCTGATAGTTCTTTTAACTTACAAATCCCCAATTTTTTGCCTCACTTTGTAGATTTTTTACTCTGTATATTACTGTCATATTTTTAATACATTTTTTAGTTGGAGGTGACACAATACCTTTATTTATTTCTATTTATTTATTTTATGTGGTGCTGAGGCAAGGCACTCCACCACTGAGCCACAACCCCAGCCCTACTGTCATATTTTTGAAGCCCATTTTTTTCCACTTAGCTCATTTCCCTTGAAATCACTTCTATACTTTCGAATTTCTAATTTCTGTCTCAATTTAATGAGGCTGCTGAGCTCTAAAAGCGTTTTCCTTGGAGTGCCCACAGTTCTGAAATTGCTAGGACAATCAATGGTAAAGCTCACCTTGTTTTTTTTCTTTTTCCTTAGGGGATCAAAGTCCTACTTTTCCTATTATCCAAAGTCTGAACAGTTTATTTCATATATTTTTCTAAGTTTTCTAGGTTGTTTTTTTTTTTTTTTTTCCTCCCCAGCAAGCAGCAAAAGGTTCAATTTGCTATTCTGGCTATACAGATTAGAACTAGTACAGTGTGTCTGTATTTATCAGATTGGCAAAAATTACCACATTTGATGACACCAAGTGTTGGTAAGGATTAGAGTCACAAAAATTCCCATATCCTGGACTCTTTGAGAATTGTATATGTGTGTGTGTGTATATATATATACACTCATATATTGTACTTATACACACATATGTATTTATATATAACTTATATGTGTGTTTTTATATATTTAAATTATATATGTATAAATATATATCCAGAGATACATACAAGATGGCTCATAGCAGTATTGTTTATAATAACAAAAAATTGAGAATAATCCAGGTATCTAGCTATTTTTATCTATTAAAATACAAATTAATTGATTATGGTATGCTAACATTTTTGGAACATTATACAGTGATGAAAATGAACTAATTGTAGCTTTTCACAACAACATGGATGAAGTTTGTAAGTCTAATATTAAGTAAAATATTATAAAGAAAACATATATGATACCATTATATAAAAATTAAAACCATACTTTCTAGGGTTGCATATTTAAAGGATAAAACTATAAAGAAAAACAAAATAAAAAGTAGTTCCTTTAGTGTAAGAATTTGAGCATAGCACATGTTGGGGGCAGTCTTCCAGGTGCTAGCACCATTTTTCTTGAACCTTAGTGATAATTTCATAGGGTTCATTTTATATTTATTCTTTATGCTGTAGGAAAGAAGAATTCCATTTGTATACATATATGTTTCATGTTCTCTTTTATATTGATATATCAATATTTTAAGTTTAAAAACATAGTGAGGTGTTTTTTGTTTGTTTGTTTGTTTTTGTTTTGGTTTTTTTCCCTCTGAGGACAGTTTCCTTAAGGAAAGTCTGAAAGCATGTCTAGGCAGTGTCATTGAATAGCTAATAATTTCCCCAGGAAACTGTTTTGAAGATATCAATTTTGTTGTTTTATTTTGTTTTGTTCTTTGAATTGGCTTTTAATATTTTAGACCAGGTACCTGTTAATTTGCTTAATAATAATTCAAGAAAGTTGTGCCGTACCTCAAATTGTCATTTCTTTAGAAAAAGCAATATATTTATTGACGTTGAATAACTTAAATCTGTTCCTTTTGGGAATTTCCATATTTTGTTAAATTAATTAGATTGATTGCAATCAATAAATGATATGAAGTACCATGATGGAGTCACACTTTATAGTCTGAATTGTAAATGATAAGTACGTTTGATATATTTGTACTTTTAGAAAACCTTAAATATCTCTTCATCTGGAAGTATCCCTCTCTCAAGTAAAACTAGGTCTGTTTCAGGGGGTGAAAGTGATTCAGTGAGCCTCATTTGTGATAATAATTTTCACCTCTCCTGTCTGCTTGTCCCCCCCAAATAGTTTAACAGAATTGTTGACTAATGTAAAAATTGCTGATCTAAATTGATTGTTTGCCCCAGAGGTAATAATGAACTCTAAAGGTAATGGTAATAAAAAGGAATAACAAGACATTAACAATCTACAGAATAATTGTTCTTAAATTAGGATTTTGTGGGCTTTTTAAAGTAATATTGGAGCTTTTTTGGGTTTCTGCTAAGATCTAAGTTCAGTTTTTGATACACTCAAGCTTTTTGATAAATAAGGTTGCTGTTTGCTCCTGCTTCTAATATGTTATCTGAATGTAACATTTGCTGATTTACTTGATGGGACTATCTTTTAACAATGACCCTTTTTACCCTCACACAACTCTAGTCACTTCTATGTTAGATATCTATTGAAGCATAATAAATTACTACATTTTAGTGATTTAAGTAAACATCTATTTATTATTTTTTAGTTTCTATTTGTCAGAATATTTGGGTCCTGTGCTCATGGTCTCACAAAGCCACAGTCAAGGCTGTGTCCCATTTTGGAGTTCAGGATCCTCATCCAAGGTCATGTGGGTTATTGGCAGAATTCAGCTCTTTATAGATGTATGATCAAGGTCTCTTATTTTCTTGCTGGCTGTCAGCTAGGAACATCTTCGTTCCTATAGGCTACCTGTAGTTCCTTGCCATGCAACCCTCTCAGGTTCCCTCATATCACAGCAGTGTACTTTTCTAAAACCAACAGAAGAATTTTCTAAGACAGTCTTAGATAACACTGTGGGATTAATTGTCCCATCATCTTTGCCATATTTCATTGGCTAGAAACAAGTCACACGTTATACACGGGAAGGGATAATGCAGGAGCTTGATTCTTTGGTGAGTATCGTTACGAGTTTGTCTACTGCAACCTCCCAAAGTAGGGGCCTGCCAACATTCTTATGATGACATTAGCCATGATCCTTTACTCACAAGTAACAGGCCCATTTGTTCATTTTCATCTGACTTTTGTTTTATGAGAAAATATGTCATTTAGATTTTTCTAATATAAGTATCTTTTTTAGTGAGCGAAATTAAGATAAATATTCCCTAGGATACATCTATGATTCAAAAAATTTCGAATTTATTATTATAGATATTGTTGATAGCAAATCCTTCATTATGTAATTGAATATGACATTAATTCTTTTATATGCTTTGTCAAATTGTTCTTACTCTTCAGTGCAGGAATCACAGCCATGGTCCCCACCCTCCAGGATTTGGTCGACATGGAATCTCTGCTCATGAAAACAAAGACCTTGCCAAAGCAAGAGATGTTCTTCCTCTTATAGAGGACTCTAGTAACTGTGACATTGTCAAAGCTACTCAGTAAGTCTTCCAAGTCCTTTCTTTTATTCGTATATTGTGTTGAATTATAATAATGTATGTGCACTTTATGGGTTTACCTTCTTCACTTCCTACTGGGTAGGTCACTGGTACCAGCACGAAGATAAATGTATGTCATAAGCTTCAGGACCCATAGTACCTTAGCTGTTTATGTACCAGGCTCTCCCCCTTAGGTCACTAGCAGAATATATCTTCTTTGTCTTTGTAGCCCCAGGGCTTTTGCATGGTTCTGTCTCCTGTTACATGACTAATAAATGTTTGTTGAATGAATGATTTAGAATGACACTAAAACTGAAGTGAATATAAATTTAAAATGTACTATAGCCTAAATATAGATGTGATGGAAAATATCAGCTCACATACTTATATATATTTTTAACTTTTTAATATTTATATATTTTCCCTTTCCCTCTCACTCCTCCGCCCCATCTAGAATTCATCTATTCCTCCCATGCCCCACTCCCTATCCCACTATGAGTCAGCCTCCTTATATCAGAGAAAACATTTGGCATTTGTTTTTCTGGGATTAGCTAACTTCACTTAGCATTATCTTCTCCAAAGCCTATATTTATGTATTTTTAATCTTCATTGAATATAGATGGGATGGAAAATACCTCACACATATATGGTGTTTATTTCTTCAATAAACACCTATTTATGTAGCATTTACATTATGTTTGGTATTGTAATTAATCTAGAGATGAAAAAACATGGCAGGATATGCATACTTACATATAAAAACTATTATTTAATATAAAGGACTTAAACATCAATGGATTTTGGTCTGAAAGGGATCCTGGAATCAATCCTCCATGGATCCAGAGAGCAACTGTATTGTATTTCTGTGTTGTCATAAAAATGGTTTGAATAAAAAAAAGACATGGTAAAAAAAAGAAATTTTGGTATTTGTTGATAATTTTAATTATAATCAATTATGCCTTTCTTTTTCTTATTTGAGATACGGGATTTTTGAACGCTGTAAAGAGTTGGTAGAAGCAGGATATGATGTCAGGCAACCAGACAAAGAAAATGTATCACTTCTTCATTGGGCTGCTATTAACAACAGGCTGGATCTTGTAAAGTAAGACGCGAGATATGTGTGGTTTTTGTGTACTTGTAATTCTAGACCTTTTCTTCATTTGTCTTTCTTTTTAAGCCCAAGTATGAGTGTTGAGCCATCTGTAATCTTCAATTATAAATAAACACCTGAAACTTTGTTCCACACACTTCAGTTCATTATAGGGTTGAAGTGGAACTTAGAGATCATCCAATCTGGTACCCTTATGGGTCCAGAAAGGAAAGTAGAGAAAGCTAAGGAGGCTTATCAAAAAGCTAAAGGTTCCAGTGGCTGGGGAGGTTGAATCAGAAGTTTAAAGCCAGCCTCAGCAAAAGCAAGGCACTAATCAATTCAACAAGACCCTGTCTCTAAATACAGTACAAAACAGGGCTGGGGATGTTGCTCAGTGGTGGAGTGCTCTGGAATTCAATCCCTGGTACCAAAAATTAAAAGTAAAAAAAGAGAGAGAGAGAAAGCTTAGGAAGTAAAAGCGAACATTTTTGAAAACGGAAAAGTATAACATAAGGATAAAAGAAAGTTTCATCTAGTTTAGAAGACACATTGACTTATTTTATATTGTAATGTCAGGAGGAATAGATAGATAGGAAATTAAACCTTTTTAAAATTTAAATATGGGATAATTTTAGGTGAGCATGTATCAGATTATATAAAATTTATCCCCTTCATAAAGCCCTACTACCTACCCTTTGTTTTTTGTTGTTTCAACTTTACAGTTTTCTTAACACATACTCACAGGCATACTCCTGGTAAATTGTTTAGATAACATGAAGAGAGCAATTGTACTATATTTCTGTGTTGTCAGAAAGATGGTTTGAAAAAACAAAAGACATGGTAAAAGTACAAAGCACAACTTTGAAGTAATGACTTAATTGTTTTAAACCATAGAAGAAAATCACTCTCATTGCATTAGAGGTTTGTTTGCTTTATACAGTGCATCATATCTACGTTCCCCAAATAGAGTGCAAAACATATAAAATGTCTAATTTTTCTGAAAGGATTTTAAATTAATTTTTTTTACTACGTTTAGAATATTTCCACCTGGTAATTCTAATTTTGAACTGTTAAAATTGACCTAATTTTACCTTTCTCTGAGTTAAATAGAGTATATACTGTTCCCAAAACTTTTAAATGTGAACTGAAGAGTACTGTGGTAGTTTTAATCTGCAAAGAATAGTTATCATGTGTTTGGTATGTGAGTTATAAAAGAATACTAGTTTCAACAGCAATGATTACTGACGTGAAGCTGAGAATATTTCACCAGGGATTTGTATGATGCTGTCTTTTAAATTTTTGAGACTTCTGTAGATTTGAGTTCTTTAGAGAGGGTTATTATTATAATTTCTGTTTACTAATACATTTTCGCTAAGAAAAAAAATTATGTTTTCTGTCCCAATATGAATTTTAAGTTTCAAAACATATTTTCATTTGTGTCTGTTTTTAACAGGTTTTATATTTCAAAAGGTGCTGTTGTAGATCAGTTGGGTGGAGATTTAAATTCAACTCCTCTTCACTGGGCCATTCGGTGAGTTTTTTTTTTTAAATCCTGAAACTGAATAGTCATCTGTGACTGGTAGCCACCATACTGTAAATCACAGATACAGGCAATTCAAAGGATTTTCTTTTTCCCCTTTGCTTAAAAAGAAATTACAAGGAGTTTCCAGAAAGGATAATTTTGGTGTTTAATTCAGGGCTCAATTATGATTATCAAACACAAATATGAGTGTTATACTTTATTTTTTTAAAATAGAACAAACATCTTTTATATTTTAGTCACCCTGAATAAAAGCAATAGTTCAGTGAACTGCAAACAGTCATTTCAGTATTCAGTTTTATAACAGATGTCCATTTGGTTACTTATAGTTGTAATTTTATTTTAAAAAGATAAATTCCCTCTCAATATAAAGAGAGGGAATTCTCTCTTTTAGTATCAAATGTGTCAATTCAGGACAAGAAATTTTGAGTGGGTCAACTTATTAGTACATTTCTATTGACCTGTCAAAATTCCTTTTTTCTCTGGTATATTTTGGCCTTCTGAAACTGAAGGAATAAATCTGAATACTTGACAGCTTCCTCTTTTATTTTATTTCTTCTCTGCTGGGAAGTTGACAAGAACCTGAAACTAAAGTGAGTAATTGTTTTTGTAAGGCAAGGAGTTGAATCTTTTCTCCATAGACTGAGTACTAAAGAACCTGATGGTAATATTATCACAGTGTATCCACAGTCTCTGAATATTATACTTCCATATATATGGCACATGATTTTTTGCTTTTAAAACAGCAACAGTGAAGTGTAAGGGCTTTTAAAGTTTTCTTTATTAGTATTAGTCATGTAAAATTATTATTTACACATGATTGTAACTTAAGGCTTAAGTTAGATTGGGAGGCTGTCAGGTTTATCACTTGCCCTTAGAAAGGAATATCCTTATAGTTTTAAGTTTGGGGCATCCAAATAAAAGACATTTGTTCAATCTAGAGTGTTTTAAAAATCTCTTAGGAAATGTTCTTTATATCTAACCATTATATCTAAGTGATATTAGTTTCTTCCTGAATTTTTGTTGTGTCTGAAATCTTTTTCAACAGAATAAAACATAATTTTTTTTTCTTATATTTATAGACAAGGGCATTTACCCATGGTCATATTATTACTCCAGCATGGTGCAGATCCTAGTCTCATTGATGGAGAGGGATTCAGCAGCATTCACTTAGCAGTATTATTTCAGCACATGCCTATTATAGCATATCTCATCTCAAAGGGACAGGTATGTTTTGAAGTGGATCTCTTACTACAGCTATTATAATCTGAAGAGATTATTAGTCATAGTCTGTTCTCATTTTTAAAGCAGAAGTTATTAGATACACTGATATTCAAAGATTAGCCTTGGTAAGTCTAACTATTGTGTACTGAGTTTTCAGCTTCATTGGAGGGTAAAGATCATATAATAGATAATTCTGAAATTTGTAAACCTGTAATAGTTTTTCTTATGAGCCCAGTAATTTGCAGAGTTTTTCAAAAACATGGCTTTAAAGCCTATATTTTGTTTCTGGTTGAATGTGGAAATGGATCACTAAATTAACCCATCATTTGCTTTTATTATTTGAGCCCAAATGGTAGCCAATTTGATTGTATGCCTCTTATTGTTCTCTAAAGTAATTCCATGAAAAATGATTCGCCTTAAGAGACAGAGGTTAAATTATAGGTTATTGGCAATGGGGAATTTCACTGTCAGCTGTACTTGCCTAGAATGTGCCTTTCTGGAAGCAAAGTAGTTTATGTATTAGCATTCTTGCCTGAAATAGACAGGAAAACATGTTTGCACAAATGCTGTTGGAGCGATTGTGTTCCCTTTAAATAAGTACTTTCTTTCAGACTTAGCCAACTGAAGTAGAATAATTATAACCGTCTGATAACCGTCTGAGTTTCATTTTGAAAAGACATATGAGGAGGAGTCTTTACTGCTTCTCTTCCAGCTCCTTCCCAAGTTCTTTCCCCGAAAACCTCTAAGAAACTTCAGTAACTCAAATTCTTTTTTTGGTTTAGTCGGAACCATTATTGTACACCTCATACATGGACCTGTTTTACAAAAAGAAATTATTCTCATGGGGATATGATTTCTTTCTTCTCTCTTTAAAATAATAAAAAGAATTTTTCCTGTTACACTGTTTGAAACTTAAAATAAGTCAAATAATACAAGTGGCCTTAGAAGATAGGTTGTGCACTATTTCTGGGAGCATTTAAATAGAGACTGGATAACTTTGCTTAAGAAATGATAGCATGTATTCATATGTCAATTAAGATCTAAATTCGTTGACTTCCAGGGCATGTACATTTATTTATGTTTGATGATGGTTATCAACATTTTGCTTTTTTCCCTAGCTATCATATAATGCTGTACATCACATATTTAGATTTTACTTTTATTCATATCATATAATGCTCTATATCACATATTTAGATTTTACTTTTAAAAATATTTTGTAGAAATCCATGGATTTTACCCTATGGAAGTGAAGAAGAACATTATTTGATAAGACTTGAACTCTTTTTATAGAAACAATGGTAGTTTCTGAATGTATAAAGGAAGCATTTCTATCAAGAGAGAAAAGAGGCTTTTGACTATGTTTACAGTTTTGTTAATAGTTTCTTCTTTTTGAATAGAGTGTGAATTTGACAGATGTAAATGGGCAAACACCTCTCATGTTATCAGCTCACAAAGTAATTGGGTGAGTTTAATTGAATTACCTCAGTCTGATTCTTGGTTCCTACAATTTCTTTTCTGTGAAACTATGAGATGATAGTACAAGCTGATAAAGATACTTGCCTATCCTGGGGTTATGATATGGATTTTTGAGGTATTTGTAGTTAGAAATGCACTACTGAAGTACATTTTATCTTTTCTGAAAGCTTTGGTGAAAAATTTGAAAACTATTAAGAAAAAAGTTTCCTTATACAACAGTAGAGATTCCTTAGCATATGCTTGTTGACATGACTGATATTCTACAAGTTTAAATGTTTACAAGTTTAAATGTTCTCATAATTTGAAATCTAGATGATCAATTTGCTTTCCAGAGAACAGTAATTTGAAGTTCTCTGACATTATTGTTGAGTCTCTGAAAATATTAATTGTAACTGACCTATGAAAAGAGTCTATTTACATTTCACATTAGACACATTTAACTTTTTCTGTATAATTTATAAACATACATAATTAATGACTAGATTGTAGTCCAGCTTCTGGTATTTATCTGTGCAAATGCATACTATAGTTTTCACTTTTTCAGTTTGTTTATGTCCTTGAAATGAATTGCCAGTTCTGCTTTTCCTTAGGACTTCTCTTGTAGGATCTGAGTTTCTTTTAATTATGTTTCCTTTTTTTCATGGAATGATGGGATTGAGGGTGAAATTTTGTTAGAAAGCATTTTCTCTCTGTGGTGGCACACACTTTTAATCCCAACTGCTCTGGAAACTGAGGTAGGATTGCAAGTTTGAGGCTAGTCTGGGCAATTTAGCAAGAGCCTGTCTCACACTAAAAGTAAAAAAAGGCTTGGAAAGTAGCTCAGAGGTAGATTGCTGTTGGGTCAATCCTCAGTGTCAAAAAAAAAAAAAAAAAAAAAACAATAGAAAGCATTTTCTCTTTACTGAGCTCTGAAGTCAGGTATAATATCTAAAGATCTTCATTGAATAATCATAGTAGAATATAATTTTTCTTGGGAAAAAAGTATATTCTTCATACTCTAACATATTTCATATACTTCTTTATACTCATAAGTATAAAGGAAAGAAAGGCATTGATGTTTAACATGAAAATATTTTATTGAATTTTATCTTTCTAGTTTATACCTTTCTAACCTGTACAGATATTTTAGGGCACTTCAGTTTTGCATCCCTAATGTAAAAATCTGCAATATGGTGCAAAAATCTGAAAATTTTTTTTGAGCCTAAACATGTTGCCACAAGTGGAAAATTCCATATCATGAAACTTGGTTTCATGTACAAAATTATTAAAAATAGAACTTCAGGCTATGTGTATAAGGTATATATGAAATATCAATGAATTTCTTGTTTAGATGTGGGTCCCATCCTGAAAATCTCTATTATATATGTGTAAACATTCCAAAATTAAAAAAAAAAATTAGAAACATCCCAAGAATTTTGGTTAAGGGATACCCAACCTATATTTATACATGCTTTATTTAATAATTGATTAAAGGAAGAGTATAAAGTAACTTTTGGTTTATCTGCGCAGATAAAACATTTTACAGGGCTAGCATTGTAGCTCAATGGTAGAGCACTTGCCTAGCACATGTGAGGCAATGGGTTTGATCCTCAGCACTACATAAAGGAAAATAAATAAAATAAAATAAAGATATTGTGACCATTTCCAACTAAAAGAAAAATGTTTTTAATTTTACATTTAGTTCTTAAATTGGATAAATAACATAACACTTAATATTGGTTAAAGTTAAATCCACAATTTTAAAAAGTGTTAACCAATAGAGCAGCATTATGAAAGTAAAGTTTTTCTTATTCTACTATATTGATGTTTAAATTATGTGTATAGCAGATTATTATTTAAAATGTCTTTTTTTTTTAATCTCTCCTGTTAGTGTTAGAATAGAACTCTGAACAAAGCAGTTCCTCACTTGTTCAGAATACTTAATGATTCCTCAAATCATCATCCCTATTAATGCCTCTTGGTATTTTATTATTTTGAGACAGGCCAGAACCAACTGGATTTCTTTTAAAGTTTAATCCTTCTCTCAATGTTGTTGATAAAATACACCAAAACACTCCACTTCACTGGGCAGTTACAGCAGGAAATATTAATGCAGTTGATAAACTTTTGGAAGCTGGTTCTAGTCTGGATGTCCGAAATGTTAAGGTATGACCAGGTACTTATCTCCTTTCGTTTATTATATTTTCAGTTTGAGGATTAGTCATTTTAGGAAAAGATAAGCTATATGTTTATTTTCAGTTACTACGAAGATAAATATAAATAATAATAGCTAATTGCCCTTAGAGTTAATATGATTCTGATGAAAAAATCTTTAACACCCATAATATGTCAAAAATATAATAGATTTTATTTTTTTTTAAGGGACAAACTCCTCTTGATATGGCTCTGCAAAACAAAAACCAGCTCATTATTCATATGCTAAAAACAGAAGCCAAAATGCGAACTAACCAAAAGTTCCGACTTTGGAGATGGCTACAGAAAAGTGAGGTATTTTCATATGGCTCTGTTCTCTGGGATATAAGAAATTTTTTTTGTTAATTTGTTTTTGATTTTTAGGGCAATAAGGAAAACCAGAGAGTTGGCTATCTTATGGATATTCTGTGGTATTCCACATTTACTTAATGAGTGAATTAAGATGAAAATGAAGCAAAATAAGAACAACAAATTGTTGTAAAGAATTTTATAGAAGCTTTTTTTAATGAGATTGTTCCTTATTAATTTTTTTAAAGGAAAATAATAACATTCAATTCAAATTTTCAAAATGGGATATTGGATGATTCCATAGTTTGTTGTTTTCAAATATGATAACATTATCAGATAAAAATTAGTAATTATACTTTCAGAGTGACTGAGAATTAACAAATACCAGATTTCTATGTAGAGGATCATTATGAATGCTACACCTATTTTGCATTTAGGTATGTGAAAGAGGAGAGAAAGGCTACTACTCATTCTCCTTTGCTACTTTTTTCCCCTCACTTTTTATTGGTAGGATGCTCCAAGATCTTGTCCTTGAACCTCTTTTTTATCTATTCATTCTCTACTAGGCATCTGTATGTTGACAACTGCCAGGCTTATCTCTCTAATCTAGAACTTTCCAGATTTATAAGTCCAGTTATCTACTTATTCAGTTTAGTGTCTAGTAGACATCTCACAATAACATATCAAAAACTGAGCTCCCAAGATTACAACAAAAGCAGTTCTAAAAGGGAAATTTATTGCTATGGGTGCTTACATTAAAAAATCAGATCTCAGATAAATAATGTTAAGGTGTATCTCAAGGTCTTAGAGAAACAAAACAAACACAAAATCAGTAGAAGTAAAGAAATAATAAAGATCAGAGCTGAAACTAGAGGCTACAAGAATAATACAAAGATTAATGAAACAAAGAGTTCTTTGAAAAGATAAAGAGAACTGATAAACCCTTAGCCAAATTAACCAACAGAAAGAGAAGATTCAAATTAATAAAATTAGAAAGGAAAAAAGAATTATTATATCAGATACCCCTGAAATCTAGATAATCATTAAGGACTATTTTGAAGACTTATATTCCAATAAACTAGAAAATCTATATAAAATGAATATTTTTTTGGCCTTCCAAAACTGAACCAAGAGGATTAAAAAAAAACCTAAACAGATGGATAACAAACAGTGAAATTGAAACATTAATAAAAAATCCTGAAACAAGGAAAAGCATAGGATCTGATGAATTTACCTCTGAATTTTACCAAATCTTTAAATAGGAACTAACATCAGTTGCTCAAACTATTCCATGAGATAGAAAGGGAAGGGATGTTTCCAAATTAATTCTACCAAGATAGTAATCCTGATACCAAAACAGATAAGGTTACAACAAAAAAAAATCCTTGATGAACATAGACTCAAAAAATCCTCAGTAAAATGCTTGCAAACCAAATTCAACAGCACACTAAAAGATCACATACCATGATCGACCATGTTAGTTTTATTCCAGGGATGCAAGGATGGCTCAGCGTACGTAAATCGGTAAATGTGATCTGTCACATAAATAGAATCAAGTATAAAGATCTCTTGATCATTTGACTAGATGGAGAAAATCTTTAACAGAATTCAAAATTCCTTCATGATAAAAAGCTCTAAAGGAACTAGGTATAGAAGAATCTTAGTCTCGATATAAAATAAAGACTATATACAAAAAGCTTGTGGCCAACATTATACTGAATGGGGAGAACATGGAAGCATCTCCTCTGAAATCAGAAATGAGACAAGGATGTCTACTTTCACCTTCCTTTTTAATATAACACTTGTTATTTTAGCCAGAGCAGTTAGGCAACAGAAAAAATAAATGGGATATAAATGGAAAAGGACGAAATCAAATTGTCTCTATTTGTAGGTAATACAAAGCTATAATTAGAAGACCCCGAAGACTCCACCAGAAGACTTTTAGATCTGATAAACAAATTCAGCAAAGTAGCAGAATACAAAATCAATATAGAAAAATCAATAGCTTTTCTATACACGAATAATAAATCTGCTGAAAAAAAATCAGGAAAATAGTTTTACCAACCAAAAACCAACATAAAAACTAAGAATAAACTGAACCAAAGGGATGAAGACATCTACAATGAAAATTGCAGAACACCGAAAAGAGAAATTGAAGAAGACACTAGAAGATGGAAAGACCTTCCATGTTCATAGATTGGCAGAATTAATATTGTTAAAATGGCCATAGTACAAAAAGTACAGCCACCGCAGTCCCCATCAAAGTACCAATGACATAATTCACAGAACTGAAAAAAAAAATCCTAAAATTCATCTGAAAGCTCAGAAGACATCGAATAACAAAAAAAATCCTGAGCAAAAGGGGTGATGCTTGAGGCATCACAATACCCAGTTTGAATTATACTATAGAGTTGCATAAACAAAGACGGCATATTACTGGTATAAAAACAGATACGTAGACCAATGGAATAGGATAGAGGACACAGATAAACCCATGCAGCTACAGCCATCTGATCCTTGTCAAGGGTGCCAAAAATGTACATCGAAGAAAAGACACCTTTAACAGATGTTTCTGGGAAAACTGGATATCCATATATAGATTAAAACTAGATCCCTATCTGTCTTTTTGCATAAAAATCATCAAAATAGATAAAATGTGACCCTGGAACTTTAAAAAAAATACTGCTAGAAGAAAACATAGAGGAAACACTTCAAGTTATAGGCAACAACTTCCTGAAAAGGATTCCAAAAGCTCAGGAAATAATAGTCCAAGCCAGGTACAGTGATGCATGCATGTAATCCTAGTGAATGGAGTCTGCCTTTGCAATTTAGCAAGGCCCTAAGAAACTTAGCAAGATCCTGACTAAAATATAAAATAAAGAAAGGGCTGAGAATCTGGCTCAGTGGTTAAGTGCCCCTGGGTTCAATCCCTGGTACCAAAAATTAAAAAATAAATGTTTAAAAAGGAAATAATGGTAGGAATCAACAAGTGGAACTTCATTAATTAAGAAGGAATACAAAAAATGAAACATCAGAATGAAGAAACAACTACAGAATGGGAGAAAAGCTTTGTCAGCTACTCTTCCAACAGTGGGTTAATACATAAAGAACTCAAAAAACTTAACAGCAGAGAAAAAAAAAAAAAAACAGAACGCAGAACACAATCAGTAAATGGGCAAATGAACTGTACAAATACTTCTAAAAAGAAGTACAAATTATATGAAAAAATCATTCAACCGCTTTAGCCAACAGAGAAATATAAATCCAAACTACACTGAGATTCTATCTCACCCCAATCAGAATGGCTATCATCAAGAATACAGAAAACACGGGACTGGGATTGTGGCTCAGTAGTAGAGTGCTTGCTTACCATGCATGAGGCACTGGATTCAATCCTCAGCACCACATAAATGTGAAATAAAGATATTGTGTCCACCTAAAAATAATAAATATTTTTTAAAAAAGAATATAGCAAATAGTGCTGGCAAGAATGCAGAGGAAAAATGAACCATATACATTATTGGTGGGAATGTAAATCAGTATAGCCACTATGGAAACCAGTAAGTTCCTAAAAAAACTTAAAAATAGAACTACCATATGATCCAGCTATATCACTCCGTAGTATATACCTGAAGTAATTGAAGTCAGCATACCATAGAGCTAACCTGTGTACCCACTTTTACCTTGGTCACATTTACAGTAGACAAATTATAGAATCATCCTAGATGCCCATCAGTGGACAAATAGGTAAAGAAAACGTGATGTATACAGACAGACACACACATATACACACAATACAGTATTATTCAGCCATAAATAATGAAATCATGTCATTTGCAAGAAAATGGATACAACTGGAGATTATTATGTTAAAGTAAAATAAGCCAGACTCAAAAAGACATACATCTTGTTTTCTCCCATACATGGAATCTAGACACAGACAAACAAAAGTGAAAAAATATGACCTGAAAGCAGGAGAGAGACTATTAGAAAAGAAGAAGTGGGCCAGGGGAGGAGGAGGAGAGGATAAGGAAGGGTTATATTAGGGGAGAATATGACCAAACTATGTCAAATGCACAATGAAGCCCATTATTCTTTTTAATGAAAATGCACTAATTTAAACTGAATTCCAATCTGGGTGCCTTGATACATGCCTGTAACTCCAGCAACTTGGGTGGCTTAGGCAGAAGGATTACCAAGTTCAAGGCCAGCTGTAGCAACTTAGTGAACTTAGCAAGACCCTATCTCCAAATAAAAAATAAAAAAGGCTATGGATGTGGCTCAGTGGTAGAGTGTCTCCAGGTTCAATCCTCAATTTCAAACAAACAAACTGAACTCCTGATCTCTTCCTGATGCGTGACTAAGCCTTCTGCATCTCAGTCGCATATTCTGCATCTCAGTCGCAACTCTATAGTTTTCCAATCATGTCTTAGTTTGTGCTCTCATACCACATACCCACTCCATTAGAAAGATGTGTCTAATTCTTCCTTCAGTGTATATCCAGAATCTGATCCCTTCTTACCACTTCAGTAATGCCATGTTAGTATAACAGATGACTGTTGTAAGTTTAAGATCCTATCATTCATCTACTCATATAACTATGATGTCTTCCTGTTTCACCCAGAGTAAAAAGAAAGTCATTTAATGGCTTCCAAGACTTGGGGATATAGCTTTTTATGTACTATAAAGTTAAATAGATTTGTCTTCCCAGCTAGAGCTGAAGCTTTATGAGAGGAAAAACCTTAAATCCTTTTGGTTGTCTCAAATGCCTCAAACAGACCCTTACATTCAAATATTTATTAAATTAATGAATTATGTGACTCTTGATTGAGCATTATATCTGAGATTTAGAATTGTAAAATCTTTCCTTCTTATTTCTGTTCTACTTGTAGATTCTGAATTTAACTGTTTTAAAAAATCTAAACTTGCTTACTTTATGTCACCAAACAAATTGGGATTGTTTTAAAGATTTGATGTCATTTGAAATTACTGATCCCTAGGTATGGCTTAGAGAAGTCAGAATAAAGAAGATAAGACAAAATACACTTTTCCTCTTTGCTGTTGCAAAAGCCATGCTTGCTTTCAAGATCTTTGTTAAGGGACTGCATTGCACAAATGTGGAGCCTAACTTCAGTGCAGACAGTCAAACTGTTGTATCATGGAAGTTTCATTCTTTTGACTTTACCAAAATTAGCCTTAATCATTAGCATCCTGAAGATATATTTCAGTCTTTGATCTCCATATGCCCTTGGGCACTAAGAATCACTCCCTTGAAATTTTCTTTGCTATCTTTCAGCAAAGAAAGAAAAAAAATTTTTTTTCATTGGAAAAAAAAAAAAGAAGGAAAAAAATTTCTTTTCAGACTGTCTTTCTGGTCAGACTTTCTTGGTAACCTTTAGGATCTTAGCTTTGTTCCTTGCCTTCATTGTTTGTGTTGACCAAGATACTGCCCCTTTCTACCTTTCTTTGGTATGTCGTTCATTCATGGCTTTACAATCCATATACTTGCTTTTTTAACTGTCTTCTGGATATATCCAGGTATTTTTAAATTTCACATGTCCAAAACTGAGCTTATCTTTTTTGCAGAGTCGTTTCTTCTAACCTTCTTGATTAGGTGATGGCACCACCTGGTGCCCAATTTGAAGCTCTTCTGTTCCCCTTATTTAGTCTTTATGCTTTCTAATAAAGAATGTGATTTGGAAGAAGTTATTTTTAAAAATATCAGATTGTCACTACTTATGTAAAAAAAACCACAATTTATTGGAGGAAAGCGGCAGCACGTTAAAGCTACATTGAATGAAATGTAAGGCTTTTTAAAAGATTATTTCCAGCATATATATATATATATATATATAAACTGCTCAAATTTCAAGTTTATCAGTTAGCCAATTTTTAAGAAAACTTGTTAGTTCTGCTGTTGTATTGATTGTTATTATACACTTAGGACATAGTTCTTATACTGAACTAATTAAAATGACATTATAGGAGGTAAAAATGCATAATGCTCTAAAATTCTTAATCTCTTAATAGATTTTCTTGCTGCTGATGCTTTCTGTGAGTACCATGTGGGCTGTTGGATACATATTGGACTTCAATTCAGATTCTTGGCTTTTAAAAGGATGTCTTCTGGTAACATTATTCTTTCTGACATCTTTGTTTCCAAGGTGTGTATATTAGTCTTTGCAAGGCTGGTTATTGCCTTTGCAATGTGATTGCTTATTTTTGTTGTGGATTAGCTGGAATCCCAGATTTATACTGAGCTATAACTATTACATAACTACATAACAACATTCTTGGGGTGGTGAGAGGAAAAGACTTTGGTGACATATTTTCTGGCTGAAAGCAAATGGCTCAACACAGTAATTTGTTTGTATTGACAATCATTGGAAAATAAATATCCTGGGGAATTGCTTGAGTTGTTAGTTTTAGTAAAAAATGGAGAGATTTTGGTAACTATTTTTTATCTAGAAGTATTCTTGCCCATTTTTCAGAATTTTTAGGGGATGGTGGTTTTCCTTTTTAAAATGTAAATTCATTGTAAGCTTCAAACATCACCTTTTTATCAAGGCCATCCCTGATTAATTCTGCTGTACCTGTTTTACTTTCTTCGTATAGTATTTAATCACTTTCCTATAATATGAGGTCCATAAAAGCAAAAAGCTTGTCTTCACTATTGAACATTTTCATTCAGTGAATAAAAGAAAGATGTAATCACAATGATCCATAGAAAATAATCTAAAAGGAAATAAGCGGTGTTGGCTCTCTACAGGGCATGATTATAGGTATTCCTGAATTCTTTTGCTTGCCAGCATATTCTGGAATAAGCATGCACTGCTTTTGTCTTAAAAGAAAACAGAATATTAGAGGAATCTTATTACTTGGTCACCCAAGAACAAGATAGTTGGCTGGAAATGAATTTAAATTTAAATATGACATGAAAGCTCAAATGCTTAGTCCGCTATTCAGAAAACTTGTAACTTTCCACTAATTGATTTGACTTGATCTCTAAGTTAATTTGAAGCCAAATCATCAAGGTTCACAGTCTTTTTTTTTTTTCAGAGAGAATTTAAGGGCTAGCAATATCTACTCACCCAGAATTGGAGCCTTTGTGATCTTGGTGGCTATTTGTTTTAGCTGAAACCTCACGAATACAAAATTTTATGTGAAAACTTGTTTTGGGTGACTGCGAGTTAAGGGCTTTCATATGCTATTCTTGGTATATTATGCAGTTCAAATTTAAGTCATATTTATATAGCAACTTTATCTTTACTGCCTTATTTTTCTCATCTCATCAGTAGAGTTCCAATTTTATGGAAATAAGTAGCTGCAAACTTTTATTATTATTGGATTCCAGGAGCAGTTGCCTATTCATCCATGTTGCTATGTGATACATGTCAGAAATAGGTAGAAGTAGCAGCCTTTTACAAATTAGGTGATTTACTACCTAATTAAATCAAATGTGATGTTTGCCACACATAGGCCATATCATGGAGTTTGTGTGGATTCCATTTGTCTTCTTCTGGCAGAATATTGGGTGCCTGAGGTTGGGCTCTTTAGGTCTTCTCAAATATAATTTTATCCTAATTATGGTTATGGACCTGATGACTTTTTTAACCCTTTATATCCACCAACAACTACTGTTTATTTCTAGTAGAATTTTAATATATATCCAGTTAAACTCTATTCATGCATAAAAAGACTATATTGAGTATTTGGTGAAAGACAGATTTTTTCTTTTGAAACTGCAATGTTAAACATTCTGAGTATATTATATGTGGACTTCAAGTTGCTTGTTGCCTGAAATTTTTAATGTTATGATTGTTAATATCATTTTTAATCTTTGTATCTTCTCATATAGTGACTGTTTCTTGAGGTGGTTACAGAATGAAAATGCTTAAGGTTGTGAATGAAAGGATGTATAAATTAGAAGAACTAGAATATATACTTCTTCAGGATCATTATATTTCAGTTTTCTCACAATGAAATGGGGTGATGGTAGTGTATAACTCTGTGAGCACATGGAAAGTGCCAGATGACACTAGTAAACACTCAGAAAGTAAAAGGTATTGCTGTTGCTGCTGTTATTACTACTATCATTATTTGAGGGGTTTAGGACTAAAATTGACATGAATAATACTAATACTTGATTTCACTAATACCTTATGTTTGTCCTTTTTCTTTTAGGTTCTTGGTTGGATATAAGAACCTTGTATACGTACCAGCAGTTTTTCTGCTAAGTTCCATTTTCTGGACATTTATGACTTGGTTCGTCTTATTCTTTCCTGATATCCTTCAGGCTTAAATTTAAATGCATATTTAATTTTACCTTTCAAAAAGAATAATGCCTATTGTTATAAACTTAGATATTGGGAAATATTTAGGGAATGTAGCTAACATTTGCATTCATTTATTGATTCTGCTTGAATGTTTAATGTTGAGAATGTCCTTGATTCTGAAAGTTATCTCAACATACTATGAAAATAATAGGTTTCCCATATTAATTACATATAGGAGGGGAGCAGTAGAGTGAATTATTGTTTTACTTGATCCCATAATAGTAAATTGGATTGTTTTTAGAGTTCTTCAAGGTCACATGGTTCTTTTAATTTAGTCAGCAGTTACAGTTGATGATTTAATCTTCAGGGTACCAAGATGACCTATATGAGAGGGATATTTAGGAAAATGTGGCTTCCTCATTAATGGTAAGCATCAGTTCTAGCTATTATCTAAGGCATTGATTCTTAGTTCACAGAAAAAAATGATATTTTTGCCTCCAAAATAATGTAAAATGAACTTTGAAAAAAAATGCCTAATGTGTAATTCACCTTGTTTTACTTTATCCTGTGTTGTTGTTGTTGTTTTAATTCTAGTCATAGCCCACTTAATTCTTTCATGGCCTACTGATAAATGGATAGCCTGCAGTTTTAAAAGGGGAAAAAGAAACATTCAAAGTGGGTTTATAACTTGAGGATCAGGGCCCAGGTCCAAGTCCAGCTCAAGGGTAAATAGTCCTGTTAGATTGGTCAGGTCCAGTCATGTAGCAGTGCAGAGAGTGGCTACTTCTTGGTGTTAGAGCTGTTTATAATACCAATTAGATGAGGCACATTTTTCATCTTCCCACCTCTTTCTAGACTTCTTTTTCCTCTCCTAAGGACACTGCTTGAGAATCCATTATAACCTTGTTCTTCTTATAGGATAAGGAAAAAAGGAATGTAGTGGCTAGAGATAATACCTTTTAGCATATTCCTTTAATTTATATTTTTCTCAGGTATAAATATGAAATGAGATAGGCATATGAGTTTTCAGAGTGCATGCATCTACCTCTATTGCAGCATGTTTTTGCTTTAATGCTACTTTTATTTCTGAGCACTATCTAATGTTTTTCATTTCTTTAATCTAAATGAATGGCACAGCATACCATGGAAATGATTAGGCTTTTTTCAAAAGATTTAATTACCCCTACCCTTTGTCTCATAATTATTGATTTGGTAGCTCCTTTGTAAGCACTGACCTTTTTGCCAACACTTAATGAAAGCTTGGAAGATACAAGATTAAAAATTACTTAATAAGCAACTAGGAGTACATTTATAAACAACATGTACATTTAATAACAGCACACTTTAAACCAACAGCACTCTCAGAAGACCCAAAGCTCATAAATCCTTGGGTAATGGACCTGATACTGAGAAGGGATGACTGATATTTTGTTTACCAACCAGTGTAGCAATGTAATAAGCCATTTTTAAAATTATGGCATTTTTTGATGAATTTTAATAATTTGAGCAACTTAGAATATTTCAAAGTTTTCACAGATCATTTTTAATTCAATTTTACAGAATCAGACATTAAAAATGTAACAACTATAGTTCAAAACCTTAGTTACAGAAGTTAATATTTAGTTGAATGTAACTAGAAACTTTTTTGTGAAGGAGCTATTATTACCTTAGAAGAACTGATTACCATAGTTGGAAGAATGTTAAGATGTTGGAATTGACAGGATGGAATGTTTTACTTACTTGTACAACATAAAACTATTTGACCCAGGTACTACTTGAAGTTGCTAGTGTTGAGAGCATGAGAATACTTCACTGTGAGAGCAGTGTTTTTCAAGCTAAATGTTAAAAGTGATTGGAACTGCCCTGTGGATGAAATGAGGTGTTGTCCTATATAGACCTATCCTAAGTATTTTGACTAATCTTGGCTCAGGTTGCCGCAACAACTGAGTGGGGGCTTCTGCTCTCATAGCCTCTGGTGTGCATTGGGAAGACAGTCTGGGACACTGAGGAAAACATAAAGTCTTTGAAATCAAACAGAATGATTCTAGATTTTAGCTTGTTTTTCTCACTAGTTATATACATCTGACTAGTTCATTTTACCCCATTTTTTGTTTTTCTGTAAATTGGGGACAGTGGTACCAAACTTATGAGGTGGCTTCAAGGATCACTATGCTAAAAGATTCCCATTTAGTAATTGGCACTGTATAAATATACTTAATATTTTATTATTAATTACTGTTAGGAAGAAAATCTGTGGAAGGCTCAGGTTGAAACTAATTTTAAGAACAATTCTAGTTTTGCTCCTCAGATTATCAGTTTCTTTTGATGTCTGTTATATGTCAGACAAGTAATGCATTTTTTTGTCTTCTGTGAAGGAGTTTGAATGAAACAGACATGTACCTTACTGACAAGTTTGGAGTTATGGCTAAGACTTGGGAAAGAAATGGTATACCATTGAATATATGTGATACTGGTTATAACTGAGTTAAGTTTAAGAGAACTCAACACATGTAAAGTCCTGTATGATCACTGCCTCCCAGTTTCACATGGAAATATATTATTTGGAAGCCAATGTGTACTGTATGGAATGGGCACTCAATAAAAAGGATCATTGAACAAATGAAGGAATAAGTCTATGTAGAGAAGATCTAAAAGATCCAATGATGGAAACCGATTGGTCAAGTTATAGAAGGGCAAATTTTAGTTCTATATTGAGAGATTTTTTTAACTGCAAGAGATTCCAGTTTATAGGGGAGGCTGAGACATCTATAAATAATTATAGTCTAAGGACTATAAATAATTATAGTCCAAGTACCATAGAAAAAGTTCTCCTGGGTTTGGGGATGGGAGAGAATCCTTCTTTCCATGGAAGTAGAAAAAACAAAGGGAAGGAAATGGTATATTAAGTATTAAAGGCAGTTAGGACTTGGACATCCTAAAATTGTGGCTGCAGAAGTCAGTGAGAGGAAGTAGAAAATGTTTGTGAACATAAGCAAGGAACGTGTTTGCCTTTTATGTTTGGAGAAAGGGGATCCACTGATTTTTCTGTGATTTGTAAGTTAATTCAGAATAGGAGCTTCAAATTCAATCAGTTCACTATGCATGATCACCACATGATTCAACTGAATGAATTTTTGAGAATATGTTGTGTGTGTTGATCAGAACTTTGAAAAAAAATTAGATGCAATTTTTTAATTTTAATTGTTGATGGTCACTATACCTTTATTTTTTATTTATTTATTTTTATGTGGTGCTGAGGATCAAACCCAGTGCCTCACACATGTGAGGCAAGCGCTCTGCCACTGAGCCACAACCCCAGCCCTAGATGCAATTTTTTAACAAAAGATCATGACCAGTGTATCCTTTAATAGTGTCCATCTTAATTCATTCTAACTAAACTTTGTTAAAAATTCATCTTATCATGACTTCTCTGGCTCCTCTTCCTTAAAACTATACCCACCTGCAAATAAACTGTATCAAACTAAGCCACCAAGATTTGTTCCTGCCTATCTGAACCAGATGTGGTTGTGCTGGTCATTGAGGGTTAGAGCAGTGCTTCTCAAACTTCAATGTGTGGTTGAAGCCCCAGAGATTGAGTCTGGTTCTATAGGTTTGGGGTAAGGCCTGAAGTTCTGCTTTTCCAAGAAGCTGGTGTTGCAGGTCTTTGGACCACATTTTGAATACCAAGAGTTTATTTTACGGCTTCCTTTTCCACTCTTAAGTATGGCATAAGAAAGCTTGGCAATATCTTGTAAGGTAGATGTAGTTACTGTCTATAATATTTTAAATTGGACGAGGACACTGGATTTACTAGAGGCTTATTGAGTTATTACTGTACATTTATTTGTCTTTCTTTGGAGTAAAATTTGACTTTTTATATAAAGAAATTTTACAACCTTAAAAATATTTCAAAGAGGAACGTGGTTATTCTTGAAATACTTTTTTTCTTAATTTGTCAATAATATCAGTCTTTCCCAAATAGTATGTGATTTGTAATTATTTTGCAAGGAGAGCAATTTATTTAATTAACTCAGATTAAAACAATTACAAGAATCAGTTACTAAATTCTCCAGTAGGAAATTTTTGTAAGCATTTGTCTACCCTATAGGGCAATATTATAGTTGGAATCCCTGAACCAAGCTGCATTGTTGCCTTAAATGCTTTTGTTAAAATGATCAGAGAATTTTTATATATATATATATATATATATATATATATATATATATATATATATATATATATATACTCGCAGGAAAGCCATAGTTACACCATTAGATGCTAATTTATTTAGGTCTTAAATGTTTTTTAATCTTCAGGGTATTCATAAATGTGACTATTTTTATCAATTAATATAGTTTTCAACTAATGATGGAGCATTAACTATTAGCCAACTAGGAGCAAATTCCTATTGGATTGGACATAAGATTGAGCCATGTTTGGGAATAACACTGTATATACGTAGAGAAGTAAGATGCAGTGCAGAGAAGAGAGGTTCCTAGGTACAAAAGATAAACTTTGCTTGCATCATAGTTAGGCTTGTGTGTGTGTGTGTGTGTGTGTGTGTGGTGCTGCAGATTGAACCCAGGGCTTTGTGCATGCAAGGCAAGCATTCTACCAACTGAGCTATATCCCCAGCCCCATAATTATGCTGTTCTTAATGGAAGTTTGATATATTCCTTAACTTTGCTTTAACATATAGCAGATACTCCTTTCTATTTTGCTTTCATTTTCAGCGTAATAGCCTTTCTGTACTTTTTTTATAAGACTTGGGCAACTGATCCAGGCTTCACTAAAGCTTCTGAAGAAGAAAGAAAAGCGGTGAGCTCTCTTTGTAATGTTTTGTGTTTTTGTTTTAAATCAGAGGACATGTAAACTTGAGTATTTCATAATCATATTGGTTTTTGCCATGAGTGTGTCTTTAGAGCTTGCCATAGATAACACAAATAGATATAACATATGTAAGGTAATTAATTCAGCAAAGTGAGATATCTTCACAATTACACTTTTTTTCAACTATGTATATGAAAATTTTAAAAAATACTTTTATTTTCTGTGACAGTAATACCCCACCAAAACTTTTTTAGGTGTGATTTTTGTTAGCAGAAATGATTACCTACTTCCTTTTAATAATATTTAGGTAAGGGTCATTTAGCTTAAATTTCCTCACTTACTATATAAAGGCAAGGGCCAAGGGGATTCCTTCTCTTCCTCACCTATGAAGTTGTCACATGACATGGAATGTTTTCCATGTACTCCTGTTTGGAACAAAGTTAGGGAGAATGTTGTTCATTGTTACCTAAAGCTAAAGTACCTGAAAGACTCAGTCCTTGGTGCTTGTAACCATTGATTTTGATGTATACTGATTTTTGTTTCTTTTTTAATAGATGTGTATGTATGAATTTTTATTTTTCTTTAGCATGTTATAACTGGGAGAAGATGGTGAGGGAGATCGCAGAGGGTGCAATTTTGTACAATCTAATTTCTTGGCTACTGGCTAAAAACATAGCCTTGAAAAGTCACATTATTTCAAGCACAGAATGATTTGGTGGCTATATTTCAAATTGCTTTTCTAACTATTTCAGTTTGGAGTGAGTTGTAAGAATAGTACATAACCATGCATAATACTTTCTCCAATAAAAAGCAATCATAAGGTCAAACTTCATGTCTTGCAGAATATCATCACTCTTGCAGAAACTGGCTGTCTGGATTTCAGAACATTTTGTACATCATGTCTTGTGAGTCTTTTCTGTATAATTTTTTATTTTCTCTAGTAAAAGCAAATTCTTGGTAACATTATTCAAATAAGCATTTGTCATATCTTCATGGTATACTTACCTACCTTTGTTTTTACCCAGTTCAAATTTTGTATTAACTGCCAGAACAATTTTATGCCTTATACATATGGAAGAATATTTATAATCCCATGAAAGTTGCCTCCGGTTGAATCTCTTTGTGAATTATCCACAGTGTGTTTTGTTTACTTTTCCTGTCAGAAAGTGTATATTAGAATATTAGAATCACCTTCAAGTCAGAGACTTATAATGACCTAGAAACTTCTTATATTGCAATTGAAGACTTAAGACATAGAGGAGGATGTAATTTCTCATGATTATGGGAAGAACCAGAAAGGGAACTCAGCTTCCCTTTCTTTTAGTCCACTGCTTATTCTGTTATATTGTACTTACTGCCTCAGTTCCCCTTAGCTAGTGTGAATAGGCTCTAGAATTCAAATCCATTTTAGTAGTGGCTTAATCAGAGTTGACATAACAGTAAGTGTTAATAAGTCATTCTGAAGATCCTGTGGAATTTAAAGATTATATGTGCCTATCTCTTTACAACCTATCTGCTTATGATTTGTTATCACTTTGAGACACTGTTTTTTGCTTAGGCCTTTCTTAATTATTCACTTAGATAAGGAAGCCATTAAGGTCACTCCATTGCCATGTGTGCAACTCTTGTGTGGCTCGATATGATCAACACTGCCTGTGGACTGGACGGTGTGTAGGTGAGAGATTTTATTTTTCGATTACTACTATGAAGTTAAACATGTTTAGTTGTGTATGTGATTCATAAAAAAAATGCTCCCATTTTGTAGCTCTTCCTTGTCTGTGAATCCTCTTTATGGTGTGAAGTTTTGGGGAAATTTTTGAAGTTGATAATGATAATTATTGTCATTCATACAGTATTTTGGAATTTAAAATATGGTATCCAATTTGATCATCAGAACACACATGTGACTTCATATTATCATTTCTGTTTTGGAGCTGTAAAAGTATAAAAAGATGAAATTATTTGCTTAAGGTCACTTTAGTAGTATCCACCTTCTGCTCCAAATATCATGATGTTTTAATATGTTAAGACTTGTTTTATTCATATTCTCCATTTGCCTCCTTCGGTATTAGGTAAGACCAGGAATGGCAGAAATCTAGGGATTGCCTTCCACCCAGGAAATATTAATTTTCCTGACCTGCAGCTCCGAGTTTTCTCTGAGCCAACACAGTAAAGACAGGAGTTTATTATGAGGAACTATAATTGTATGTCTTCAGTAGAGGATATATTTTTATAATCCTGATGAATAGAAGGCTGACTTTGACTTAGTTTAGTCAGGTTTCCTTGGTGCATTTCAACCATCTTTTCCTAGAGAAAGGTGGCTCGATTATTAGGGTTCCAACCCTCATGGACTTCATCCCACCATAATGATTAGATGATTGGCATTATGCCAGGCAGCATTTAATGGCAGCTGAAAAACAATAGCAATGAGCTCATGAATACTTATCACACAGCATTTAGAAGTTTTTTTCAAATGCATCATCCTGTTTATGTGTCATAGGCCTGAGAAGTAAAAGAGATATTGTTATCTGCATATTGTAAGTAAGAATGCTAGATCAAAGACATTAAACAGCTTAACACACTAATAATCAATAAATCTAGGTATCCTGATTCCAGTGGATAATGCTTTTTCTGAGCTTTGCTGCTTCAGGAGAAAATGGTACAATGACGTACCTAAAAAGCATTTATGTCATTACCTCTGAAATGCTCCCATCTCTAGGATCAAGAAGGTAGGGATACAGCACATACATACATACACAGGCTGCCTGGCACCCCTCACACTTTCTTCTCCCTGCATTTATTAGTACACTGTGGGTTTCCCCTCTGTGCTATGGCTAATCTCCTGCAATATATGTATGTATTGCTGCTCCTCAGGTTTATTTTTTTCCATCCCTCTGATCAAATCAGTCTTTGATATTCAGAGGATATAATTATATAAACATGTTTCATGGAAGAAAGTAAAAAAAAAGATAATATGATTTGCCCCAAATCTGCCTACTTTCCTCCCTCAACAGAGTATAGGCCAGCCCAGAGCTGTTTTGGCTTAGTTAATTTTATTCAAACACATTATTTTCTTTTAGGTAAGTAGGGAATAAATATATAAGTTGACCATGACATATCAGACTATTTGGGTTTGATATAATAGTATTTAAAAAATAAAGCAACAACTTTATTTCTGTTAAATTTTGATAAAGCCTTTTGACTGGAAATTTAAAAGGTCTTATCTGGAAACTGAGTGTTTTACTTTTTTTGATTTAGGTTTTGGCAACCATCACTATTACCTGTTCTTCTTATTTTTCCTTTCCTTGGTATGTGACTGGATTATATATGGATCTTTCACCTGTAAGTATAACTTTTTCTTACAATGCACCCATACCAAAATGTACTTTTTCTTATAAATTCTCATATATCACAAGTGGTCGGATGATTGTACCTTATCCCTAATAAAATCGAAGTAGATGCCTCTAAGACTCTTTAACAGTGGTAAGCTGAAAGAAAGGTTAGTTCTCAATACTTTGGAAGAGAACCTTCATATGTTTGAAAAGTGCTCAAAAATAGAAGTTCATGCAGTCAAGTTTAGAGGTTTGGGGGTGGTGGTCACCGTAAATTGAGGAACAGAGCTTTGAAAGCACATGCCATGTAGTGTCAAGTTGAAATTGAGAAATGGAAGTTCTCAAAAATGAACAATTGAAAGATTGGAAATACTAACTAGGAAGAAGACATTATTGCTTATTCTGCAGCTCTGAGAAAGGAAAATGGCTTTTAGTAGCAGTTTAATAAGGTATTCTAGGTGTATCATATGTGGAATAATAGCCAGCTGTTCTGAAATGATTGATGAAGAACAGGGTTTAAATTGAAGCAAGAAGAATTTTGGTTAACTCTTAAGAATTACAAGTGCCTTGTAATCCCAGCTATTCAGTTTAAAGTTTAAAGCAGGAGGATTGCAAGTTCAAAGCCAGCCTGAGCAACTCAAGAAGACCCTATCTAAATCTTGAAAAAAGGAGCACAGCTGGGAATGTAGCTCAGTGATAGAGAACTCATCTAGCATGTGCAGGAACCTGGATTCCATCTCTAGTACCACCAAAAAAACAAAATACATGACTGAACTTTTCACACATTGGAATAGGTTACCAAACTGGAAAAACCAATATAGTGCCAGTAATTTATTTTTATTTATTTGGACTTTACTGTTTGGTTTTTATTTATTCAAAGGCTTTGGGAAAATAGTCTCCACATCTAATCTGTGCCCGTAAACCTTTCTTTTATGTTGTCATTGCTTGAGCTGAAATCTACTGGAAAACTTTAGGAATGATTTTCCCTACATTGTTTTCTTTTTCCCTGAGCATGCCAAGCCATAGTACTCTTGTGGGCTCATGCTTTCTCTCCTTGTCCCCTGCCCCACACTTTCCTCAAAAGAGAATTTCTTTTATGCTTGTCCCCCAGCCTCCCAGTTCCCTTCCTTAGGATTATCTAGTATTGCAACTTTTCTTTAGTTTGGGGTTTCATGTTTAGAGATTGTTAGTATCTACGTGAAATGGATTTTTTTTTTCCCTGACGTAGGCATGACAAGGGCTTCAATTACCGTGTCAGACCATTTCTCATTGATATCTTCAGTGTCTGATCTCCAGGGAATGCTTTGTAGCTAAATGTAACTGTCACCTTCCCAAATAGGACTAATAGAAGTTTAAAATTCCTTCACTCAGAGCCAGACATAGTGGCACATGACTATAATTCAGGCTGCTTGGAAGGCTGAGACAGTAGGTTCACAATATGATGCCAGCTTGGGCAATTTAGTGAGGCCCTATTTCAAAATAAAAAATTGGAAAGGCCCAGGGATGCACCTTTATGGTAGAGCACTTGCCTAGTTTGTGTGATACCATGGGTTCATGCTCTAGTACAACTTCTTGTTCAAGGTTCCCAGTAACCCTGAACACTGAAATTTTAAAACCCTACTAGATTATGTCTTGTGACATAAGAAATAAAAGATTTTTTGTCGGTGCCTTAGAGAGGGTTGCCCTTTTAAGGCTTGCCAATAAAGCATATTCTTGGAAAACCTTTCTAGGTTGGCCTGCAGACCAGTTTCTGTCTTGGACTTGATTCTAGGGGAGAGGAGCCAGATTTTACACCACTCTTGTCTCTTCTCTCTTCCCTCTCCTCACTAAAAATAGTCTGTGTGTGTGTGTGTGTGTGTGTGTCCCCAGCATAAGACTATTGATAAGGAGAGAAGTGATTTTCTATCACATTCATTCTTTCCTTGGTGGTTTTTTTTTATTACATAAATTGAGTCTTCCCTCCTTTTTGTCTTTTTTCTCTGGCTCTGAACTATTGTTTATATTATATTTTGTTGGTAATGAACAATCCCACCTTTTGCTGACTTAAAACTCTGTGTACTACCCGAGCATACTTGGTTACTTTATTGCATTCATATTCTGACAATATTTCTTTACACTGAATGAGGGAATTTTATCATTATTTCACAAACAGGAAACATGAACCTATGTTCCATTTCTCTAATGAGGTGTCACTGTCATTCAGCCTCCTTTGTTTACCATTAATGCTCTTGCCAGTAGAGTTCTGCTATATACTCTCCTCCTATACACTTGTCATGTGATCCAGTAGCAGATACTTTTGCCTCTGCACACCTTGATCAATTCCATCTTTCTTGGAGGTATATTTTCAGAGCGGACAGTAAGTGAATCAGAAAGTGTCAGCATCATAAAAATGACAGGGAAAAGGGTATTAGATCAATATCAGGAAGAACTATGTAACAGTCAGAGCTATCTAATGATGAAATGATAGACTTGAAATAATGTGAGTTCCCTATTATTAACCAGTGACTGCCTGATAAGAATATATTAGCACAAATTAAAGTGTTATATTGCATAAAATAATGTTGGTGGTCATTTATATCTTGGACACTAAATCTTAAATCAGTGCTTCAGTGTGAGAACTTCAATATAAGATCATGTTGTGTTATCAGAACGTTCCCACAAGGGAGCAGTAGAAATCCATTAACTGAAAGAAAATAGATAATCTTTCCCATTCTTTCTCCTTCTGCTATTGGAAATTATTTATTGATGTATTCAATTTTTTTTTTTTGTAGTATTAGGGACATAGGATGGATGCATCTTTTCTTGCAGTCCTAATGTGTACTTCTAAACAGAGTATAACTTGCCTTAACCCTGATTTTTACTCTATAATGATTGCTCGTACAAAGCTTTTGGCATATATTTATGAAAGATGGTTGAGAATCAAATGAGTGAGTCTCAAAAAACGGGGAGAAAAAAGATGTTAGGACTAAAATAAACAGTTGACAGTAAAGTCATAGATTCATTTTCTTCCTGCCTCAGGAGTTCTTCTGTACGTATGGGGAAATGCTAGAAACTACTTATCAAATTTGTCAGAGGCCTTTATGAAACCTCAGGGGGCAAGCTTAGAGAATTCTCATTTTAGAAATAATTCACACTTTATGTGTAGTTAGGTGCCTGTAAAAGTCATAACCTTGAAGATCTATTTCCCTTGTTTCTGCCACTTCCTACCTGTATTGTTCCTTACTGCTGCTTTTTAGTTGCATAGATTAGGTTGTCAATAACGTGAAGGCCATAGTGAAATCCTCTTTTAATTGGTATATAGATGCCCTGGGGGAGAAACTGAGTTGTGACCTCTGAATCATGCTCTGTGCTCTTTTCCTGGATGTGTCTGTTTTGTGGAGTCACTTCACCTGGCCTTTCTTCCTCTGCAGAATGAGTTATAGTGCCATTGCCAAGGTGCACCCATACCCATTCCCCTGTATGCTGTATATGTTCTAATTTAATCTAGACACTTATAGGACCTCTTATGCTCACAGCAATCACTTGTTCATCTGAACCATAAGTAAGAGAAACCCATAACTTGGTGTAACATGCATAATAGAGGTAATTTTCCTGGACTAGTATTTTATTAAATATAATCATTCTCCATTGTCAAGTCCTTAAGCAGTTCTGGCCAGTGTGTTTTATGCTGAATAAGCTGATTTGAATGAAGATTTTATGAACCACTTTCATACCTTCACTATCAACTACTAACATGGTGTTATCTAAACCTTCACCAACACCGAGGTACCATGTTCTCACCTTTGGTGGTTGAGTTAGCATTTGAAAAGTAAACTCCTGAAGTTGAATTCCTAGGGTTTTGTCTATTTAATGCTGGAAATTGAACCCCATTCCTCGCAAACATGCTAAGCATATGCTCTGCTCTCTAAGCTGTACCTCTAGCCCCTAAAGGTAAATTCTGATCTCTGCCACCATGTTTTGCTTTCTTTGCTCCCTAAATAGAACATTAGTTTGTGTCTTTGAAAAATAGTCACTAGTTTCTTGCCATTTTGAATAATGAGTTCTTTTTTGTGAATTCACAGATTGGTCAAATCATTGTGCTACAACATTCAAGGAAGATGGCCTATGGACCTACCTCAATCAGATTGTGGCCTGTTCCCCTTGGGTTTTATATATCTTCGGGGTAGCAATTTTCCATTTCTCATGGTCAACATTTTTATTAATAAATCAACTCTTTCAGGTATTTATTTCTCATAAATCCTTTGAGTAAAATTTCTAGTAGCCTAAAGTGAAATAAAAAGATTTGAATTTAAAATCAGCAAATTTAGATCTAAATCTGTTGCTTCCTCTGTGGATCTAGGCATGTCATTTGACCTTTCTTGAATTTCAGTTTCCTTATCTGTAAAATGAGGGTAATAATGCCTAAGTACTTTCACAAGATGGTTTAAGGGTTAGAATAATAAATAATTTATTGGAGCTGGACCTAAGGGTAATCTAATTTTATCTCCTGATTTTACAAATAGTAGAGGTTCAGATAGATGAGTCAAGTTGTTCAAGATCACTCAATGACTGGCAAAAATTGGAATGTAAACTTAGTTCTTCTGACCACCCTCATTCCAGGGCTCTTTCCATCATACAGTTAAACCATATGATGTGTGAAAAGATGACATAAACTCTACAGCATTGTACAAATGTGAGATGATTATTTTCCCTCAGTTTTTCAACCCTTGCCATATGTAGTGCTTAGGTGGATAAGAATGGGAAGAAATGGAAGATATACCACTGACCAACAGACGTGATAATTATATTTTCAGAGAAGGTCATGGCTATTAAAAAGTTCAAGCTCCAGGGCAGTAGTCATCTTCAGCTTTATATGATGTATCTATCCCTTCCCTGCTGCCTTCCTCTCCCATGAGCCTAACCTAATTATCATTGTTGCCATGACCTTCCCACATGGAATGGGCAGCAGTAATCAGTCCAAACCAATTACTGCAAGACCTCAGATAATTAGAATATTATTCAACAAAAGCAGAATGAATTCCACTTTATGCAGAAGTAACCGATTCCAAAATAATAAAGATAATAGAAAGAAAAAAAAAAGACAAGGGGAAAGGAGAGAGGAAGGAAGGAAGAAAAAATGCTAAGGAAGGAGTTCAAACTTATTAAACTGAGGTTTCTGAGTACTCACTCTATCCCTCTGATATCAACAATTCAGGTAGTAAGAATGGATATTAGCCTCTGTGATTACTAATATTAATTACTGTCATTTATAATATTTATATATGCTTTACATTTTCCAAAGCACTTACCCATTTATGTCCTCATAAGCATTTGAGACCATATCAAAGTAGTTTATGTATTTTATGGACAAGAAAACTAACCCTAAGGTATATTGACTGCCTTGCTTACAGCCATGGTAAGAGATGGAATTAAAAGCAGAACATAAGGATTCAGACATCAATTTTTATTTTCTTGCTTCTTTTCTCAACTCTTAGAACAAATACTTGAGGTTATGATATTCTTAATTTTTAAAACGAAGGCTTATATATTTGAATAAGAATTTTGAACAAACTTATCTTCTTAATGAGCAAAATAATCTAGTTCTTTGAAAATGTTCGTTTCCTGAGTGCACTGGTTAAACAGGATTTTTGACTGAGTCTCCAGACTGCTGGTTAGGAGCAGGGGCAGCTGTACCCTTGCTCTGAATTGTGTCAGTGCCAACTCTACCACTCTCTCAGTTGTATGGCCTTGGGTCAGTTATTTTCCCTCTCTAAGCCTTAGCACTAGGTATTTTAAATCTTTTATCTCACATCCATAAAACTGTGTGATAAGCTGTTTGATATGGTGGTATGATAAGGTCCATATTACAGATGAGAAAATTGCCATTGAGTTTGTTTGAGGATTAAACAACAGTTAAATAACCCTCTTAATGGTTTTTACTAATTTGGGAATTTTTGAGTCATCTTCATTCTTCAAATGTATAGGCTTTAATGTTTTTTATTAACTTTTTTCTTTGGCACCTTTTCAAAGAAGTTTCAAGAATAACACAAATTGCAATAACTGCATTGAAATTGACCTTTTATTGTTTTATTCACCCAAAAGTTGTATCCTCGATGTCTTGAAAATCTAAACATGACCATAAGCTGTGCTTTGCATTAATGAAGCAGTTACTTCGTGACTCTGAGTCACTGTCCAGTGTTTTTTTGAAGATTAATAAAAATCAAACAATGAGAGAATGGTTTAGGGCTGCTGAATCTTTGCCTTCACCATGATCTTGGTTAGAAGGTTAGAGAAGGAGTGCTAAATATTTACCAGTGTCCTGTAATGTACTGCTAGGAGCAGTGGAGCCACAATGTGGTATTTTTCATGTATCTGCCAACCTTCTTTTTCAGATTGCTTTTCTGGGCCTGACCTCCCATGAGAGAATCAGCCTGCTAAAGCAGAGCAGGCATATGAAACAGACCTTGTCCCTTAGGAAGACACCTTACAAGTAAGTGAGTTCTCTTCTCACCATCTGAAGATCCCTAGCCACTGATTTCTTAACTTAGTGCCACTACCCATGGCCACTCTGCTATTCTTTAACTTGAGCCCTTCTTTATTGGAAGCCTAAGTGACAAGGGGTAGGTGGTAAGGTCATGAGCCCTGAGGTGACAAGGAATTTAGTCTGCTGGACTTAGCACAAATAGTAAGTAACTTTGAAGTTTTGCCAAGTTGGGAAATCTCTCCAATCAAGCCACATGGTCACAAGGTTGTATGTTGCTGGCGAAGAATTGGTGTGAGATAATTAACCATGTGGCTGGCCCAGCCACAGTGTTGTCTGTAGAAAGTATTAGGTTGTGTGCTTTGCCAGGAATTTTAACCTGACTTTCTATCACCAGTCTTTTTTTTTTTTTTTAGCCCTCTATTTAATGTGCCCATCTGTGTTAGGGAGAAGCTAGTTTTTGTTGTTTTTTTTGTTTTGTTTTTCAGATTTGAGGTGTTTTCTTTAGAGAAGTGGTTGTATAAAACCTGTCCTCAGTAGAAAATGTGAGTGTTTATAGGAAGGCTGTCATCTTGTGATAGGAAAGATCAGGCTTTGAAGCTTATCTTTCTACCACCTACATCATCAGGGTCTTGGAGGTTCAGAGTGCTGCAGAGGTGACCCAGAGCCCTCAAGGGATTTGAGCACTCACTGCATATCTCATGAGCAGTCTATTTTAAAGCCTACTCTTGGTACAAGATGAAACTGTTAGGTTGTTAGACAAGGAAATCAGAGACTGGGATGTGACTACAATGTGTATTTAGGGAGGAGAGAAGTTGACTTAATTGGGAAGAGATGGCTACAGCAATGATAATGGAGAACAGTGCAAATCTTGTGATTATTTCAGTCCAGCAGTGATAATAAAGTCACAGTGATTTAACCAGAGGAATAATATTTACTCCACTAAAGTATAGAAACCTTATAATAGAGGTGGAATTTTAAGCTGAACCTTGAGAGATCTGAAGCACGGCGTGATGGGGATGGGAGGAAGGTTATTCCAAGTCCTGTAGAAGAATCTGGAAGGAGAGAGGGAGATGAGAGCTGGTGCACTTTTGCTGAATAATGGCAGCATAAACTCGAACATTCCTTGAGAACTAAGGTAAAACCTTGTAATAACTTTGAGTCTTACTTCCAAAATCCTGCCCATATGAAACATTCTGCTTTTTTACCCTCCTCTAAGTTACTTATGCTTACAAAGTAGGTCATGAGCCAGATCCTGTACTTCTCAGACATGTCTCCCTGCTGCCACTTAATCAATCCCATGTAGTCAGCCCTCTTTCTAGGAAGGTACTTTTTGAGTAAGTTGGTCTTTTTACTCACAGTAGCACAGTCATGATTGTGCATACATGAGGATTGAGTTAGGCACTGAAAACATTGGGCATATGCTTTAAAATAAGCATTTCTTATACTGGAATCAGGCAGTAGTAAACATAAATAAGGCAGTAAATCAGGAATTTATGGGAAAAAATGGGATGCTGAGATAGTTGTAGTGAGTAAAGCTCTAGTGGGAATGTGAGCCTTGAATGGGTCTTTGAGAGCTGGTAAGACTTAAAAGGATGGAGGTATTACCTGAGATAAATTGGGGGAATGTGATTTCCAGGCCCACACAGTTATAATCATGGGGAAAATAGACCTAGGTAAGACTGGGAGGTCTATGGAGATGAGCTGGGCAGCTAAAACTTGAGTTCATTGTATAAGGCCTTGAATACAAAGTTGAGGATTTTGGATTTGAGCCTCTGGGCAAATGTGTATCTTGAAAGGGTTGTAATTGAGAGGTTAGTATCAGGGGTTTTGGAGGACTAAAAGTCTCTATTATGTAAAATGAACTGGAAGGAACTGAGAAAGACATCATTAGAGCGGTGAGAAGGCTTAGGGGAGAAAACCCCATCTCGTTTATTATAGTTCTTCTTACCTATAGGCCTTTGAGATACTCAAAAGTCTCAATTAGGGCAGTGGGAATTGAAAGATACTTTATGATGGCAGTGACCAATACAGTGAGGGGGAACCCAAAATGAAACAATGAAGAAAAATTCAATTGAATTGCTGGACAGAATCAAGGAATTTCAAAGTAGGGATTCAGGTCCAGAAATGGAACTAGGTTTCAGTTTTAAGATTTTGTAAGTCCAGGAACAGTCTGATTACCTTTGATTCTCAGTGAATGTATGCTTTGAATGAATGTTTTTCAAGAACTACACAGGAAGTATAGTGAGATGTGTTCTCTTCTCTTATTGGCAGCCTTGGATTCACACAGAACCTGGCAGATTTCTTTCAGTGTGGCTTCTTTGGCTTGGTGAAGCCCTGCGTAGTAGATTGGACATCCCAGTACACCATGGTCTTTCACCCAACTAAAGAGAAAGTTCTTCGCTCCGTATGAAGAAAAGCAACTCAAAACTCGGACTCAGATTTGTTTCTGTTTACGTCAGTGCCCTGTGGTCTGAAAGTGAAGTGGAATTTAGAATTGACCTAAGCCCAAGGAAAATAACAAGTAGTTTTAAAGCCATTTGGCAGAACAGTTCCCAATAAATGCATATAGTCTTTCAAACTTAGAAAAATGGACTGTTCCAGAACAATTTTGGAAGACATCTTTAAAAAACATATTTTTCACAAGAAAATTAAAGTTAACTTTTTTGGAGATAATATTCACTAATTATGGATAAAATAGAGTATTTTCAGATACAGTATTGGCTGTTTCAAAATAGTACTATTCTTTAAACTTGTAATTTTTGATAAGTTATTGTCTTTGTTCTATTAATGTGTAAAGAATATTTAAATATACCTGTTTTGCTTTCATGTGTAATAAATTTTTTTTTTTTTTTTTTGGTAATTTGAGACATAGTTTCTGACACTAAACACTTTTAGAATCTTAAGTTGAGAAAAGATGTTTATATGATATAAAGAAAGTAATTTACAGTCCCAGGAATGAGATTACTGTTAACACCAATAAGCAAGAATTAATTGAGTTTCCCATCTGATTTAGAAAATCAAATATAGGAAATCTTAAAGATATTACTGCTTTTACTAGCTACCATCAAAATATTAGACTAGTGTGATTGTTACTACTATTTTTTCTTTGTTCTGGAGGAAATGCTGGTTCAACTTCAATTCTTGGTATAGTATATGCTCCCCTGAGCATAGCACTTTCTTGCTATAAATCCTTTCATATGTTCCCATTGCTCTTGGTAAAAGTTAAATTCTCATCATGACCAGCAAGGCCCCAAGTGATACAACCATGTTTTGTTTAACTAGTGTTACTCTACACCACATTTTGTACCTTAATCCCTTTGAACTTTCAGTTCTTCAAGAATCCGTTCACCTGTCTTCTACAGAATCTTTGCAGAAACTAAGCCAAAAGAAATTTGTGTCTCTTCCAAGGTCCCATAGATACTTAGTGGGATTGCCACTCTACAGTACCAGTCACCTAGAATATAGCCCATAGCGTTCATTCAATAAATATTTGAATTAATTTGTTGAATGAAATAAAGGTGTTTTTTTGTTTTTTTAAGGAACACATGGTATAATCAAAATTGTATTTTAAGAATCTGATTCTCAACTGATGGATGGAAGGATTTTTCTTAAGGAGTTATTCTCTTCTCCCTTTTTTAGCAACCTCTACCAAAATAAGTATTTTCAAGTTGTGGTCTATTGACCATTTAGATCAGAATCACAGGGACTAGGTGGGAATCCAGATCTTACTTTTTTAAAACTTCAAATTCCCCACCTCAGACCTTCTAAATTAGTTCAAAACACTATATATATTCCACTGCTTCTAATTGATATATGCCAGAAAAGATGAATTTAATTTTTGATTATTCTACAAATATTTATTGAGCACATGGTAAGTCTTTCAGGCCATTAAACACTTAATCGGGTATATTAATCATGGAGCTTGCAGTCTAGAGGGAAAACTAATATAAATGAAAACTATAGTATAAGGTAGAAAATATTAAAAGCCATTAAGAGGGTGCAAATAAAATATTGTTGGAATTTAGAGGTTTGGAAGAGCCTCAGTAGATGTAATCAAGAAAGTGTTTGTGAAAGATTTTTAAAAGGAAAGGATGGTAGGCTGGGGATATAGCTCAGTGGTAGAGTGCTCTCCTAGCACGCTCAAGACTGGGTTCAATCCCACCACCACACATGCACACACACATACACACCTGTTTAGAACAAGGTAGCCCCGAAATCAGTGGAAATTGGAATAATTTGGTTGTGGCACATTGGATATTTTAGATGCATATTAATCAAGTATTAATTATTATTAATAAGTATCCCCTCAGGATGGGGATATAGCTCAGTGGCAGAGTTGTTGCCTAGCATGTTTGAGGCCCTGAGTTTAATCCTCAGCACCAAAAAAACCCAAAAAACAAAAAACTCCCCTTAGTGACTAAACATTCTCTATCTCAGTGGCTACACACAAAACAAAGCTAATTTTTTTTTTCTTTGTGTCACAGTCTATTTAGCTGTTAGCAGGTGTCCTTCCATGCAGAGACCCAAGCTTCTTCCCAACTACTGGCTCCACCATTTACTAGGGCCTCAGGGTCTACTGAACCCTCTCTTGAGACCAATAGAGAGAATGTAGACTTCCAGAGACTTTGGCCAAACCTAATTTCATGGCCGAGACTAAGAAAAGTAATAGATCAGTGTGTTCAGGAAAAACTCTAATATTACTGGACACAGGTTTTTCCTTGCTATTGTTTACTTTTGAAGTTCCTTCATTGTAGTATATAATCTTTTCTTTAAAATTTTGGCAGAATTTGTGTTTAGTCTGGCTTATGTTCTCCCACTTCATTCACTCAACAAATGTTTATTAAGTGCCCACTATTTGTTGAGCACTGTGAATGCACCTCTGTCACATTCTAGTAAGGAGACAGATGGAATTAAAAATTCAGTGCCATGAGACAGGCTGTTATATACCAGCTGTGGAAGTACACAGTGAACTCTTTCTCAGGTACTACAGAAATGATTTGGCGAAAGAGATGATATTTGATCTGTGACTTGCTTAACAGTAGTTTATCAAGCTAAGGAGTTGAGTTACATATGAAGATGGAGGTGTTCATCCGTCTTTCAGGAATTCCAAGCAAAAAAAAAAAAAAACATTAGCAAAAGCATGATGTCGTAAGGGTACTAGGAGTATTAAGAAAGCTTCAAGTCTTTTGAGTGTAGCTGGAGCTTATAGAGAAGAGATTTGTCTGAAACTAAGTTGAAGGGGTGAGGCTTAAGTAAATTTATGAAAGTCCTGGTACGTACTGTTACGGACTGAATTGGTGTCTCCACATAATACACAATGTGAAGTCCTAACCACCACCACCCCGCCACACACACACACACACACACATACCTCAGAATGTGACTATTTGGAGGTAGGGCCTTTAAAGAGGCAATTAAAAGTTAAAGGAGGTTATGGAAGGGCCTTAATCCAAAATGACTATTGTCCTTATTAAAAGAGGAATTTAGTACACAGACGCACAAAGGGAAGACCATGTGAACATAGAAGACGGACATCTACAAGCCAAGAAGAGAAGCTTCAGAAGAAAGATCCTGCCGACCTCTTGATCATGGACTTCCGGCCCACAGCATTGTGAGAAAACTTCTTTTATCTAAGCTACCCAATATGAGGTTCTTTGTTATATCACCCCTGACAAACTAATATACATACCAAAGAGTGGAAATTGAGAGGACGCATTCTAGAGGTAATTTGGAGTCAGAATCAAGGAGGCTTGGGGAGTGAAGCCAGGGGGAGGGCAAAGTTAAGGACAACTGAAAGTTTTAGTTTCACATGTGTCTTACCCCCTCAGCAAGCTGGAAATCCCTAGCATAGAACCAAGGTAGTATATGGCTTTTAAAATCCACACAGGGCATTGTCCAAGATACCACATAAGCAAAACTGAATAAATGCTTATTTTGAAAACAGGCTTTCTTGGGATTTGGAGCATAGAAAAACCCATGGTTTAGCCTAGATTTTTTTTCTTTTCTTTGTGGTTCTAGGGATCCAACTCATGGTCTTGTGCATGCTAGGCAAGTGCTTTACCACTGAACTACACCCCCAGCCCATAAATGAATTTTTATTTACTCCAAATAATTCAGAATTACATGGAAGCAGGAGAAATAGTGTGACTGTTAAAAGAAGGGGCCCAAGAGATACAAATGCTGGAGCTGCTGAAATTCGCTGAAGAGGCAGAGACAGACATCTCTAATTGGCTGTGCTTCATTTATGAGGCTGGCAATTTGATGAAGAAGTTTTAAGAAAATTGCTAAACCCCAGGGAATTGTCCTAGAATAAAAGAAAATCATCTTCATGTTGTTTATAATACAGAAGCAAATGCCATGCTTTTTTGTCACTTTTTAGTTTTCACAAGTGTGTAATATTGCAAAGCCCAGGATAGGACAAAAGGATCAACTCTTCAGCAATTTCATTAGTTTTGATTTTCCTTTTAGAATGTTATCCTGTTCTCTATGTTCCTCCCCAACCACCTATTTCTTCCTCACTAGCAGTAACTAGAAAACACTCAGCTGACAGATTCTGGAAGACTGTCTTCCTTGGCCCTTTGTTTCTTCTTTCTCAGTCTTTTCCCAGTTGAAATCCAGATTCATTTTCTGCAGCTAGGTTTTTGAACTAGCTTTTAGCTCTGTCTTTTTGAAAATTCCCCTCTATTCAAATAAATAAATAAATAAATAAATAAATCCAAAGACATACAAGGTACCACTAAAATGTTTATTTATTGTTTTTTTCCCATCCCAAGAATCGTAAATAATAAAGCATTTATTGCAAATTAAATTTTACATAATTTTTTTCCAGAGGTCCTTTCTCACTTTGGGTAAAGCCTATGTTTATTTCAGAAGAGACACACTGTCCAGCTTCAAATGAGGCTGTCCAGGAAAAGCTTTCCAACCCTGCAGGATTGCTTGGCAATGCTTTCTGCTGATGAAAGATCTGAGAAGGTGCATCTTTTCATTCTTTCTTTTCCACTTGTTGTGTAAGGCCTCCAAATCCAATGCCTGTGGGGCCAAAATTTTTGGCATAGCAAACTGTGAATGAGAAAGGGATGAGGGAAGAGAGTGCATTAGTTACCAACATTATTCCAGGTCCTGCTGTCTGGACAGTGTTTTTACTTGAGACAACCTTTTGATAAATTTGTGCATGAGTTAACTTGTAAATATACTACACTTCTATCTGCTAATAAAAAATCTTGCTTAGACCTTTTTGCACATTGTATTCATGGATATATTCTTATTGGAATTGGCATAATCTGTCTCTGATTGCCTGCCCAGCCTTGAGCCCTGCCATTTCCCTGCCTCTGCCTCCTTCCCTAAACTCCAGGTGCATAGCACTACTTGCAATCCCTGGGTTATACCATGATGTCCAGGCTTAGGTCTCAATACTCCCTGTTCCTGGAATGCCCCTTCCCAAACCCACATTCACCCTTCAGGCCCAGAGAAACATGTCTTTCAAGAAGACTTTCCCTTTACCCTAAACTGATTGCTTTTCTCTATATAGGCTACTACACTATGAAGATTTTAGGGGGCTAAGATTTAGGGGGCTATGGCCTATAAATGTTAAAGACCCTCTGTCTCCTACAACCCAGAGAAAGCAACTGCCTATAGTTCCCAACCTGTCTCATTGTGGGAAAAGCTTGGGTAACCTAAGGTCTTGGTTAACAATGCCCCCTTGACCCCCTACCCATCACTCCTCCCACTCCCAAAACGTGGAGATTATTAAGACATTGTTAAGTGATGATGTACCACTGAGCAACCCAAGAGACCTTGGAGAGGCTCTGAGGTTGAAAACACATTGTCCTGGCCCTAGGGCATCTCCTCATAGTGTCAGGAAGGGCTGAGCTTCTCTATCCCCTACAGAAGACCAAAGGTTGTGGAGGAAGCTAAAGGCAGAGCTGCAAGGACCAGGAGGAAAGCCAGTTCTATCCCTGTAATCACTAAGTGACATGCAGCATCAGAAATGTCAGAAGGGAGGTGGGAGAGAGGAAGAGAAAGGACAGAAGGTAATGATGGAAGAAAGGAAGGAGGGAGGCTTATAGGAAGGAGAGAGAGATGTCTTGATAAATTCAAATGAGACCAGACTGAGTTTCTTCTTCCCAGTCACCCCTGTGTGCCACTCAGGTAGACAGTGTTTTTAGAAGAGACTGAAACTGTCTAGGCCTGAGACCTCTTCCAAGACCAGACACAGGACACAGTTTCCTCCTCTTTCTCTCTCCTCACAGGTACCAGCTGTCCTGAATCACTGAGCATCTACAAGCCTGTGCTTCAATGGAGAGGACCAGAGATGAATACATTTTACTCTCCATTCTGAAAGCCCAAAACCTGACAGGCCTGAGCTTCTCTGCTCCTGACAGACACAGGCAGGCCTCCACTCATGAGCACAGTTCCCTCCCAAGGTCCCTTAGGAAGACAAGTCTAAAGTAAGTCTCCAGGACCACTCACCTTTGCAATAAAGTTCCCCGTCTTTGTCAGTGACATTTGTAGACTCTAGACTCTTCCCACAGATGGCACAGCGGAAACAGGTCTTGTGCCAAGGCTGAGGGGCACAGAAGAGTTGCATATGAGGAAAGTGAGCAATGCAGTTTATTCCATTTTGAGTCCCCTGGCCAGCAGCATACAAAGGAATAACCTTTCCCTTCCTGAATGAAGCCCCAGAATAATCTTTCCAGAGGTTTGAAAAAAATGAGATGCAATGGCCATAGCTAGCAGTTCTCAGAATCCTGTAAATGGATTTATCATGAGGATTTGCATGTATTCCTTAAGAATAGAGTGTTGCTCTAGGGTAAAAAAAAAAAAATCCAGGGAACAAACTGGACAAGAAAGGACTCGGGCTTGGGGCAGTGGGTAATGTTTATATTTAATATAAAATTAGAGAAGAAAATGGGTGAAGAAATTGGCAATTATCCAGGCCATTCAGTCCTTTTCCTTTTGTTTGTTTGTTTGTTTTGTTGCAGATGGACAGAATATTTTATTTGTTTATTTATATGTGGTGCTGAAGATCGAACCCAGTGTCTCACACCTGTTAGGCAAGTGCTCTACCACTGAGCCACAACTCCAGCCCTCATTCAGCCTTTTTTTTTTTTTTAGTTTTAGGTGGACACAATATCTTTATTTTCTTTTATGTGGTGTTAAATATCGAACCCAGTGCCTCACGCATGCCAGGTGAGTGCGCTACTACTTGAGCCACATCCCGAGCCCTCAGCATTTTTTTTAACTCTATAATTCTGATGGCAGAGAGCAGCAGTCTGTACATTGCTTGTCTACCATGTATCACCCATTGGTCCTCATATGTCTATAAAGGGCTAGTCTTTGTGTGGAGACAGCCCCTATGTTTGAAGCCAGATTCTCTCCATATCCCTTCTTCTCTGCATTTAGTATTAACAGGATTTTTTTCTTAGGTCCACCTCCTTTGGTGAATAACTTGGCTTTGGGCCTGAAACTAGAGCTTATAGAGCAGTGTGCATTACTGTCTTGTATATTCAATGACTTTCCTGAGAGCCAGGACATTTGTAAGTGAGGATGCTTTTCACCGATGTGAGGCAGTGGTTGTGTGATGGCAGCAGCAGGTTGAGTTACATGGTGGTTACAGGTTCTCAGGGCTCACAACTTTCTGGAAGGATTGTGAACACTGATAGGCAGGGGCTTGTGTGCCTTTGTATTCCCCAGATCTTTTAACTGGGTGCCTTCCCCTTAGTAGAGTAATTCGTGTCATAGCAAACCACACCAGTTCTAGCTTTCCAAGGCAACTGTCAGGTGACAGTCACAGCCCCCCTACAGTGGGCAAGGATGTGTATCATCTAAAGAGGTTGTGGGATCTAAGAAATGAAGAGTCTGGCCCCCACCTTCCCAAAGTTCCAACTCTGTCTCTCATTCCCCCCAACTGATCTGATGGAGATGAACAAATCCCATGTGCCTCACACAGAAGGCCTTACCTTGCCACCTCCCATGACCTTCTCAGCAGCATAGACTGACTTTCCACAGCGAGGGCACTTCTCGGACTCCCCAAACTTTGCAGTGAACTTGGAAGGATTGCTGGTAGTAGCTGAGCGTGCTGGCTTTGGGGATCTAGTAGAAATAGCAAGTTAATGAAATGTAAACATCCTTTGGCACACAGCATGTGCCATGTGATCTTGAGTGAATTGCCTCACTTCTCTGAGCCTCTGTCTCCTCATCTGGAAAGTGGCACCTTACTCATAGAGTTGTTAAGAGAGTTAAATGGGGTAACATGTAAAAGGACTGATAACAGTACCTGCCTGGAGTGTATGGACTAATAAATGTTAGCTATAATGGGTTTAAATCCATCCTTTCTGTTGTAAAGCACTTAGCAAGTGTTCCGTGTATGTTTGTGTATGCTATTATCATTGTTGTTATTATTACTGTGATTATGTGTAACAGATTATTAACTGTGCTTGTTTAAGTTTTTCTGTACATTCCAGAAATCCACCAGTCTGCTCTCTACCTGAGTTGTGACAATTCTAGGTCAAGAACTCAGGTGTTAGCTCAGTGGCAGAGTGCTTGCCTGGTATGCACAAAGCCTTGGGTCAATCCTCAGCACCGCAAAAGAAAAAGAGAAAGAGAAAGTCAAATGGGGTCTTGACTGTTGGTGCTGATTCATACAAACACATTCCATGGACTGATGAGGCATTCCTTATTACCATTCAAGCTGTAGGCCTGCATCCAAGGGGTACCTGTCCCCATGAGGACAATGTCCAAATTAGAGGCACAATAATAGCCCCTTGTGTTTTGCTTCCGTTTTTGTTGTTGTTGTAGTAATTGTTGTTATTATTGTTTTAGTATTTTAGTGTTCCCTTGTATATTATGTCACTTGAGCCTCACCAAAGCCCTCTAAAAAGACAAAGCTATCTGCAGGAGAGCAAGGATCAGAGAGAAACTGCCCAACTGGTGGGGCTGGGATGACCCCTGGTCTTTAGATTCTTGTCATTCTTTGGGCAGCATTGCAAGAAAACCCTAATGCCAAAAAGTGAGCTGTAGATAACCCATGGCAGAGAATGCCCTTAGTTTCATCTTCTTTAAGAACAGTCTCTAGCTGGGATAGTAATAACGTTAGAATGAGTAATCACACATTCCCACACTTTTCCTGGGTCTATGGGTGGTTACTTTCTTCTAAAGGGACCAACAACTCCTCAGATGGCTTACCTGCTCTCTGGGGGAGCCTTCCAGAGAACATTTCCTCTTTGGGCTGGGTCTTTTGGGACCACCCACCCCCCCACGCTACCACCGCAGAACTGAGCAGGGACACCAGCTGACTGGAGAGCAACAGTTCTGGGCCAGGGGATTAGTGTGATCATTAAGGATGTGGACCCAGAGGAGCAGACCCGTAGATGGAGGTGGCCTTTGTGATATACTACTTTCTTAGACTGACTTGGGGGAAAATCAGGCAGTATATGGACAATCGGCAGCCAGGCAGACCCACAAACAGTCTTAATAGGTTATTTATTTATGAAAGGCTCATCCCATCTCTGTTGACCCCTCCTCCTACGGTTGACATTAGTCATCTTACACCCAAAGGAAAGAAATCTTTTTAGTGACAAGCACACAGAGAATGGCCATTGGCTTCCCTGCCATATTTATGTGATTTACACAGAAACTCTCAAAGGGGAAGAAAAGAGACTCCATGCAGTTTTGCAAAGGTCAAACAATCGAACATCTGTACATTCTGGTTTTTCTCTTGACATGCAAACCAAGAGCCATGGTGTAAAACTAATTGCCCTTTAGAAAGGCAGATAATTTAAAGAAAGTCTTTGGAGAGATGACACATTGTTAGAACTTGGTCAGACTGAGTATTCCTATTGTTGGCAAGTCAACAATAGAGTCCATTCTCCCACTTCCAGAAAACGTTGCCATGGGAACGGAATGAACTGTCCTGGTAATTGGAGACTCTAAGGGGCGGGAGGAAACTGGGCAGTAACTCACTGTTGGAACTGCAGGCCGAGGTGCTCTCCCGTGTCAGTGCTGAGACAGCCGGCGCCTTGTCCATAACCGATTCCTTTGGGGCCATACCTGCGCCCATAGCAGACCTTACAATAGATCTCCGACTCATGAGCTGCTACTGTGGTGCTGTCCAGAGCCTTCCTGCAGGCCACTGCCAAAGAAAGGGAGGATCAGAGAAGGATCTAGAGTTGAGATCCTTCTCCCCTTTCCTGTACCCACAGTCCAAGAACACAACTTTGATTCCTGAACAGAGCATCTGTCCTAAACTGTAGACTTCAAGAGGGTCCCAGTTTCACAGATGAGGAAATTATTGGTACACAGAAAAGGGAAGTGACATGTGTTTAATCTACTAGGTAGAAATAGGCAGAGGCCAGCAGTGGAGATGGGTGTGTGGTCTTAAACCGGCTACGAAAATATCCCAGGACAAGAAATCATGTTAGATGATACCAAGAAGTGAGTGAGCTTGTGGGGGTGGGAGAAGTTTGGGGCAGAAGAAGAACTTATTTTTCCCTAATCATGTAGGAATCAGGACTGAGCAGTTTCTGTACTTACCCTGGCCTATGAAAGGCACTGTGAGATTCAAGGAGATAGTCAACATTGAGATCAATTTAGGTCCAATTCTAGAAGCCAGGGAGGGGCAGAAAGAACAGACCTGGTCCACAGACTCCTTAGTTTTACATTGGCTCAAGTCTACTGGTCACTATATATTACCTCCTATGAAGTATCCCCAAATTACAAGGCCACCAGTCCCCTTTTTTCCAAGGAGAAGATTTATAGATCTTTTTTTAAACAAATCTGAAGGCAAAAACTTCTAAAGATTTAAATTAAAATGTCAAATATCTTATTTAATTTGCATTGTACATCAATAATACATTGATTTGGAAATGTTACTTTTTTTCTCGTCTCACACAAATTCAGGAAACAATTGCATCCAGTTCTTTCTCTGCATCCTACTTACAGCCAGAAAATCACTTTGGGGGCAGCTGCCCTAGTGTCCCTAAGCAGCTCCCCTTCACTTCTGTCTGCTTCCTTTGCAAGGCAGTCCTATTTTGTACCTAACTAGGAGCTGTCACCTGGAAATTGTATCTTACAAAGGCCTATTAGCATAACATTCTGGCAATTTTAAAATAAATGAAGGATTTCTCAGCTTAACAATTTTCTGTATTGCTCTGCAACAATGATCCTTAAAGTGCTTATAATAAGAAGATCATATCCCCAGTAACGATAAAATGTGCATTAAATTTGTTTTTTTTTAACCTTTTTCCATTGAGTAATATCTGTAATCAATCCAGTAGGAATGAGGTTGTTTCAGGCTAACATCCTTCCTCAAATGCCATTTTGTTGTTTAAAAAAGATAAAGTAATTGAATGCAGACATAAAAGAAGTGAGGTAGGATTGGCCGGGAGTTGATTGAAGGTCTAGGAAGACAGGCAGTTGATGGGAGGGAGTCCATCCAACTAGTCTGTCAATATTGTGTAGGTTAAATGTTCTCAGTTAAAATAAAAAGGTTTTAAATATATAAGGCTTTGAATATAAGGCAAATCTTTTTATAAAGAATAATTTTGGGGGGAGAAAATGCTGTATATTGGGGCATAGAAGACCTGTCTCTGCCTTTCTTGCTGTCAGTTACCACCCTCCATGGCAAAAACTGCTCACATGTTTGCTGATATTCTAGCTACTGAGGTCTTGGAGGGCAAAGCTGTTTTACCTTAATATCTCCAGAACATGGCTGAGGGCCTGGGCCAGAGTTAATCCTGTGTATGTATTTTGAATGAATGAATGAATGAATGCATGTGTCAGTGAAGATCAGCCACTTATCTACAACTATACAAGAGTAAATTGCAGAACCGTAGCTGACCTCAAATTCTTTGATTCCTAGTGCTGTGCTTTTTCCCAGGCTATACCCTATGTGACCTGGCCACTTCTGTAGTGGCTTCTTAGTATCCAACTAGCTTTTGTACACAGATAGAGTAGAGCTGTACTGTCCAGTACCATAGCCACATGGTATGCTGTAAGCAAAAGATGCATACCTGATTTCAAACACTTAGTACAAATACAGAAAGAATGTAAAACACCCCATTAATAGCTCATATGAATTATAGTATTTTCAATATATTAGGTGAAATGAAATGTTTCAAAATTAATTTTACCTTTTTTGTATACTTTCAAAATAATGGTTACTAGAACATTTATATATTAGTTACATTATATCTCTTTTGGACAGCACTGGTATAGAAGATTAGTCTGGAAACTAATTATGAAGATTTATCTAGAAGTTAGGAGAACGCTGGCCAAGGTGCAAATAAAGTAGACTCTGCCCCTTTCAATTCTATTTTCAGCAACTGGAGGTTTGCCTGTGGACAGGTAAGTCTTATGAAGATAGAAAAGTATGCCCCTCTCTGGAGCCCTTCTGTTCACCACTACTGAAACTTACACTTCTCAGACCCCCATTCCCACCTATTCCAAAGAAGCAACAAAGGGTTAAAAAGGGATGTACAGCAAATGCTCAAGTCCATCCTTCCATGGCTCTATTGAACAGGGTGCCTTCCTGCTACCTGGTTAAGATAAGATACCCCTACCACAGATAGCTTCCCAATTATTTCCTGTTCTCACCCAGACATAATGAAAGGTTGGAAAACTTGTATTTCCAGCTCAAGAACCCAGTTTCCTGTTCATAATAAACTATGCAGTAGAGATGAACAACCTCCTATAGACGGGGGAAATGCAGGCTCACAATGGTGAAATGACTTGCCCAAGTAATACATAATGAAACCCAGGCTCAAACATATATATGTATTTCTTAAATATCTATATCTATATCTATCTATCTATCTATATGTATATACATAAACACACACACACATTCCTTTCTTATTCCAATTCAGTGTTCTTTCTAAAATTTCTCATTTCCACTCTTTTTAATAACAATAGCCATTTTTAAGCAGAGGGTTATGGAATGAACTCTCTTGATAATCAATGGATCCTGGATAATTGTAATAATAATAATGAATAATAATGATGAATCTGAGGAATGTGTAAGATGAATTAAAAATAATTAACCATCATTAAAACCCAAAGTATCAATCAGTAATTCCTCCAACCCAAACACTCAGAGAAGTGCTTCCCCTTTTGCTTCCATGGTAATTATATTTGCTGTGGGAGCTAAGTGATCATGAAACTCCTATATCTGATAAAATGTTACTATTTCTAGCAATTTGAGATTAGAGTATCTCCCTGCCCTAATACATGCTGCCCAGCCCTTGAAGTTCTGTTTCAAACTGTATGGACACTTTGCAGCCACTGGGCTGAGGTATGGGGGTGAGATGGGGATGGGGGATGATGTAGGGAGGGAGTCTGCCAAATATGCAGCAAAGCCACCTCTTAAGCCAGACCTATAGAAGGAAAGCAGAGAAGATAAGTGGCCATTTCAAAGCCTTGGTTATTTTCTCCCAGAACAGGACTAGCTACTAGGAAACTGTAGAATGCAATGGTGTCAGAGAGCACTGGCTCTATGGCAAATGTGTGTGACCAAATGTGTGTTACAGATGGGAAATGACTTGTCCAAAGTCACAAGAGTCTGGCCGTGGACCTCAGGGGCTTGAAGCTACCTCTGGTTTTGACATTTGTGCATCTATGCTGGATTCCCTTCATGAAGTCACTGGTTCCCAGGCCCTGAATTTACAGAAATAGCATGTGTTGCCTCCTACCTTACATAGGTTCTCTCTTAGGAAAAACTAGTCACAGTTGGCTTCAGTAACAGCTGGCTGGAGGTGGTGGGGGTGTGGGAGGAGAGGAGTGGTGGGGGGGGGGGGTTGGGGGGGGGGGAGCAGGGGTAACAAAACAGAAAGCCAAATCCACCCTGGCTTTAGATAAGTGCTGGCTTCCTATCTCTGCCAAGTCACATTTTGTAAATGTCACCACTGGGTCAAGGGTTTTGCCACAGAGAGCAGAGGCAGGCCAGCTTGTCCTGACTGTGAGCTGCAGGAAAACGACCTCTGAGTTGGGAGCGTGGTTGGAAGAGGGTGCTGGGTACTCAGGAGAGCACTGTTCCTTCTAGGTGGGACCCATGGGTTATATTCCTCACATGTTCCTGGGCCAGGCTCCTACATACTGACATCAACCTACAGTACCAGTGGTTTAGGGAGAACTTTGAAATGCCCTCTGGATGTGGAAGGCCCTCCCAAGGTATCCACCCAACTCACTGCAGTGGAAACAGGTCTTATGGAAACTCCTTCCATTGCACTGGATTTCTTCCGCATGGTAGACAGTCTTTTCACAGGCTCCGCATTTTGCTCCTCCACCCCAGTTTGGCATCTTGAAGACTCTCTGATCAAGGTCAAGTCTAAAGAGGTTATAAAGCAAATACTATTAATTTAGGAGGCCCCAAAAGTGAATCAATCTCAAGTAATGCAGCAATCTGAGAACCAGGATCCAGTCCATTTGTTTGGTGGTTCATTCATTCATTAAGCAAATAGCTAATAATGTGCGAGTTTTTGAATAAGCTCAGATACCCAGGAGGCTTTGAGTGGTCATTTTATCACTTTAGGACTCAGTTTCCTCTTCTTTTAAATTTCAATAGCATCTTTCCCTATTTGTCTCACAGTGTTCCTAGAAGGGATGGATGCTAATTTTGATTATATAAAATATGTACCAATATAAATACTATTTTCCATACAAAATGTTTTTTTTTAAAGTTATTCCATCAGGAAAGAGAGTTACCTATGAAAATAGTATTATTTTCTTGTCTAGCTCAGGTCTTCCCCTGTCATGCTCCCCGTACTGGGGATTAAACCCAGGAACACTCTACCACTGAGCTATATCCCCAGTCCTTTTTTAAATTATTTTTAAAAAATTTTGAGACAGTCTCTCACTAACTTGTCCAGGCTGGACTTAACTGCCAATCCTCCTGCTTCAGTTTCCCAAGGGACTAGGATTATAGGCGTGCACAATCACACTGAGTTTAGCTCAGGGTTCCTTTAATTACCCCAAATCTTGCTAAAATGCAGATTCTAATTTGGTGAGTCTAGTAACAGGCAAAGTTGATGCTGCTAATAGTGAACTACCCTTTGGATAACCAGGCCTTACTTAGCTTATTTTGCTGATAAAAATACATGTTTTATTCAGATTTATTCCATATATACATATACACTATATTTATTCCACACACACATACACACACACACACACACACATACACACACCCCTTTTTAAGAATATCATTTCCCAGACAAGGAAATGATGTCAGTGGTCTGGAATCTACCTTATGTTTTCAGGTCCCCTTAACTAGCTCTGTGTATATGGAAGAATTATAAAGCTTCTCTTTACCTCCTCCTACCTGCATAGTAAAGATAGCCATGCTTTTCCCTGCTGCTTCCCAGTATTGTTTTAAGGAACAAATGACACCATACACGAGAAGGGATGTGACAGAGTTCATAGCACTTGACAGGAGCCTGACAACGATACTGACTTGCCCCCTGCACCCTTGAAGCTCATTATGTTGCAAGAAGCTGCTTATAGGCACAGCCAAGGCTGTCCTTGTCTTCTCGCCAGAGGATTATGTTTATGAGACATTAACCAAAGAAGAGGATTTTTAAAAATAATTTTCATATATCATATCTTTAAGTATGACTCCAAGTTTTCAGTTCTCCAAAAGCAGAACTGAAATAAGCTGTCAATATTTAATGAAATTTCTGAAATCCTGCCAGTCACCCAGAGGGCTGAATTTTTACAGGGATCCTTTGGTTTCTAAGAAGGCAGGGGTGTCATCTTGTCATTGTCACTAAGCACTATCAGGTCATTCCAAGTGGCTTCTCTGACCTTCACTTTCCCTTCTGGGAATCCAGTCACCTTCTTATAATAGTTGGCGATTAATGCTAAGCCCTCCTGGGTCAACTGCTCGGGATTGTATCTCACAGTCTCCCAACAAAGACAGTTTTTGCTAAGAAACAGAAAGTAAATAGCAAACAGACTACTGAGCCTGACACTAGGACTGAAGGGAATGTTCCTGTCTAAATACCTTTCTGAAGAGCTTTTCCTGCTCAGAATAACTGAGGTTAGCTGGGAACATCCTATCCTTCCTCTGATAGAAGCAGGGTCTTCTGTTTAGTTAGTAAAATTTTAGAAAATAGTGTTAAAAACAGGAAATGGGGGCTGGGGTTGTAGCTCAGTGGTAGAGTTCTTGCCTAGAACAGGTGAGGCCCTAGGTTCAATCCTTAGCACCACATAAAAACAAGTAAATGACAACAAACAAATAAATAAAATAAAGGTTAAATTCTTAAAAAAATAAAAACAGGAAATATGGTATTCCTATTTCTTTAGAGCAGTTTGTTTAGTATAAGAGAAAGAGTAATGGATTTTGAATGGAAAAGCTTGGAATCAAGCCTATAGTCCTTCCCTCCCTCCCTCCCTCCTCCATACATTTGCTACCTGCCTATCATGTGTCAAGCATTGTACTAGGTCTTGAGTAGCAGATCAAGGAGGTGAAGAACTTGTAAAAATGAGTATTTTACCAGGCATAGGAGCACATGCCTGTAAACCCAGCTACTCAGGAAACTGAGGCCAGAGGATCACACTTTCAAGACTTTCCTAGGCAACTTAGTGAGACCCTGTCTCAAAATAAGACTTTAAAAAGGGCTGAGTATATCTCAGTGGTAGAGCACTTGTCTTGTATGTGCAATAACTTGGCTTTAATTCCCAGTATAGAGAGGAAGGAAGGGAGGAAAGGAGGGAGGAGGGAGGGAAGGAGGAACAAGAGAGTAATTTGTGTCCTTTGGCATTGAGAAGCTCATGTTCTAGTGACAAACAGAGGCAGGAGCCATTTTACTCTGGACCAGAGAAGAGTCTTGTGAGATCACAGAGGAGATTACATTCAATTAGGGGTTTGAAGGTTGAATAGGAATTCAGCAGATAGAGAAAGGGGGAAGGAAATTTCAGGGAAAGAAAAAAATCTTGATATACTTAAAAGAGCCTAAATAGTTTACTTTAGATTCCATTTTAACCATAGACTTTCAGAGTTGGAATAGATTTTTAAGATTGTCTCATCTCCTCATTTTTTAATTAATTTTTTTATTTATATATGACAGCAGAATGCATTACAATTCTTATTACACATATAGAGCACAACTTTTCATTTTTCTGGTTGTATGCAAAGTGCATTCACACCAATTTGTGTCTTCATACATGTACTTTGGATAATAATGTCTGTCACATTCCACCATCATTTCTAATCCCATGCCCCCTATAACCAAGGTGTGACAAAAAAGTAAACATTTGGAGGTATTTTCTTAACTAATTTATTTTTCCCAGATGCCTCCTCTCAAGAAAGATAATACATGTTCTAAAAAGAACAGAATCAAATAGAGGATAAAGTCAATATATGTCATCCAGGAACATGACAGTGACACTTATAAAATTAAGGATGTAGAAATTTTCAGTGAAAACAATTCTGGGTCAAATTTCTCATTCCATATCTTCAGAGATATCATTGGTATGTACTACAAGTTAATGGGAGACATATTTGCCTTTTGGGATATATATTTTTTCAGTAATTGCCTAGGCATACTTTTCAAAATGAGGGTAAGATTACAGATAATACCTTCTTCACAAGCTAATGTGTCTTTGCAAGCTTGTTTTTAAGTGATCATAAATATCTGACATACACATATCAGAACTGGAAACCCAAAATAGAAATCTGTGAGTATTCTATTAACAGATGCTATTAGTGGTTCCATTTCTAAAGATGGGAGCATAGCAATGCAGGCTAAACACAGAAAATGTCACATTTCTTCTCCCAGTGTTCACAGAGCAAAAGTCAGAGGCTGTTTTAAAGAATCCTATATCCAAAGATGTGGATTCTAACCATGATCTTATGACCTTGAACTTGAGTGGAAAATGTGGATAATATTATCTCTTGCACAGGATTGTTGTGAAGATCATGAAAAAGGATGAAATCAAAATCAGTATTGAGAAGCCAAAACAGCAAGGCACCATTACCCACTTTATTTCAGGTTATTCAAACAGCACCAATGTGCTAATTAAGTCCCAATGATTTGAAAGTACATTTAGGTCCTGGCTCACAAACATAACCTTTTCATCTTCCACATTGCTTCGGAATTCCTGTGTCTCAACACTCTCCTAGCCAGGCTTGGAATGTAAATGTATCCTGGCAAGGTGCCAAGAGATGGGCCATTTGTTTACCAGTGTTGCCTGGAACTGGTGAGGGTCATTGAAGGTGGACACCAAATATAGGTTTGCCCGTCACTCAGCCCCATTTGTCACCTGTGTCACAATCTCCATCACACCACCTGGCACTACCCTTGGGGCCCACCCTGAGATGGCTGTTTGGTCACAGACAAGCCATGGATCAGAACTGAAATGAGGCAGTTGGATTTTTATGAGGATGACAAAGCAGGGTCCCTGTGTCAGCTTGGGACAGGTTGGAGTACAGTCTTGGATACCCAGGGCTCAGTGAGAGACAGCCTTGTGTAGACTTCTTAGCCGGTAATGAGGTGGAAGAGAGTGCCTGGAAATGTGCAGTAGTGGGGGTGAGGGACAGGCGTAGGCCAGAGTTCTGTGCCTTCTTGCTGTTTCAAAGCTGTATAATCTGGGAAAACCGTTCAACCTCTCTGAACTGTAACAGTAGTTCAAAGACAGGACAATAGTCCTTGCCATCACTATTATTTGGAGAATTGCTTCAGTTCTGTTAAACCACTTTGTAAACTGTATTATTAAATTTAAGAGCTAATGAGCTCTGCTACAATGTGAAATTGTCATGTATTGATCTGAAAAAAAAAATTTTATGCTAGGGTTTAAACTCAGGGGTATTTAACCCCTGAGCCACTCCCCAACCCCTTTTTAGTTTTTATTTTGAGACAGGGTCTTGCTAAATTGCTTAGGGCCTCACTAAGTTGCTGAGGCTGGTTTTGAGCTTCAGATCCTCTTGCCTCAGTCTCTGGGATCATAGGTATGCACCACTTACTCAGCTCCATCTGAATTTTTGAAAGAATAACCAATCTTGAGCACATTCTTCCTAATCCAACTTCTTCCTTCCCTTCTCCAACTATGAACTGAAAGGCAATATCTTAGGTCAAAAGTGGAAATGGTACATAAAATGGCCACTTAGTGATTCAGTTTCTTCTTCTAAGGATCAGTTGAAGAATTTTGGAGGGAACCTTAGATCAAGATTTTGAGCAGAGATCTCAAATGACAGTGCCACAATGTTTTCAGCTCAGCATTGGCTCTCTTGGTCACCCTATTGACTCTACACAGTGTGTTTTGTTTGTTTACACTGGCTGAGATAAAGATCTTGGATCATAGGAATGCATATCTGGAATTTAGGAGATACTCATATCATTACTAACATGCTCACATTACTGAAGCTGACAGGTCTGGATCACAGCCCTTGGGCCAGACACTAAGCACATCTCATAAGCTGCCACGTACTGCTAAAACATAGGCTTCTCAGAGAAAGTAAATGGAGTCTTAGGGAAATTAGATCACATGACTGGGATGTATTTCAAGACTAGATTGGAGCTCAGATCTCTTGACTCCAAAGCTGTATTCCCACATTAACATTAGCTACTATTTGTTTACTACTCATAAGTTGCTTCACATATATTATCTTTAGTACTTAAAACAGCTCCACACAGCCAATTTTGTTATCCCCATTTTGCAACTGAACACTGAGCTGCAATTCAAACCCCAGTTAGGCTGGTTCTGTATCCAACAAACTGGAGAGGGAAAAGAGTTGGCATCTCCATTAACCAAACTTCTAGTTGATTTGAATTGAGTCCTGACAGATCTATCCTCTCCCTATGGGACACAGCACTCATGGGAGAAGTAGCAGAGAGTTTGACTCAATAAAGGACTTTCTAAGAGTCAGTGCTATTCAAACATGGAAAGGGCTCCTTTGGGACTGGAGAGGTCTTTCTAGCTATTGATTTTCAGCTCTTTAGGTAATAGATATCCAAGTGGCCATGATGCCGTGAGGCCCTTTCAAAGGTTCTTGACAGCTCTGAGACAGATTTAAGGATCTGAACAGTGAATGAAGCCTTTCCCTGTAGAAATCCTGCCCAGTAGTGTCCCCTCTCAAACACTCCCTCTTAGTTCAGGTAACAAAGATGACATAGTATCATGGTGGACCTTAGCAACTTACTCAAATTCTTGAGCCCTGTCCTCAAGCATGTAAAGGCAGGATGAGAGAGCGTGTATGGGAAGACTGTTTTCAGGTTGAATAAGATAATATCTAAGATGCTATATATAAATTCTTAATACCCAACAGTTATTTGATCATTTTAGTCACTTTCATTATTTCTACTGTTGATGGTGGTATTATTACTTGATCTCCAGCTTTCAAACCTATTTTCAAAAAGCAAGCAAATCTCTCTCTGCTTTTTTTCCATGGCCCTTCTGGTGCAGATCATGAACCAACTATTTCTCAGCCTCTGGAATGTGTCACACACATGTGGCCAGACCAGAAGTGAGGCAGTCCCCTCACGGTAGAGCAGGTTGCCTGACATCATTGGCTACAAATCAGACAAGGTCCTGAGTCTCTGCCCCAGACATCCCCTGCCTCTTTGGCAGCTCTGGTTGAGCTCACCTTGCTGGTGATCTGCAGTTTGAAGGGAAGCAGTGTGCCTGTCCCACACAGTGGCCCTGTGGCCCAGGGAAAATACACTCATCTGCCCTGGAGTAGGACACTCAAGGTCAGCGGCTTCCTCCTAAGCTGCTGAACCCAGATACATATACAAATTCTCCCAGCATTGGCCCTTTCACAAAGCCTAAGAAGCATAAATTGCATTATTTCCCAGCATGGAAATAACCGGAAACATAGGCTCTCGCTCAATTAAAATGCAGGCAAGGTAGTCACACCCTCAGACTAAGGTGGCAACACATGGTCATGTTACACCTTTTCTGAAATTATCTCCAAGTCATGACCCACTGTTACTGTCAGAAACTCCCTCTTTGTTCTAAGTTGACCTTGATGCTTTATTTTTAAAGATAACATTGTATCCTATTTTATCCTGGCTCTGTTGCTTTGTGGACATGTGACCCTGTTCCATTACTATGCTTTGAACTTTAGTTTCTTCCTTGAGAGGATGACATTTTCAGGACTTTGCATGATAGTTAAATAAGTTAATACTTGTTCTGAGACTTCCTAGTGCAATTAACCAAGCGCCAAAGTACAATTAGCCCTTGCCCAGGAAGACATTGCTCATGGAGGCTCAGAAACAGCTTCCATCCTTCCTGACCCTTCAGAATATTGCTGTTTCCCTTTCTGCTTTCCTTCCCTGAAAAACATATGCACATTTTTTCACATTTGCAGGCATCACATCTCCCTCTGATTGTGAAGCCTAACAGTCCAAATCCTATTCTCAGATATCTGAGCAGCATGCTTGTAATTAGAAGGCTGCATGCCTAGTTGTGTTTCCTGTGTTATATCCCTAGGCCTGTGTCCTTCCTCTTGTAAACAAATTAATCATCTTCCAATGCCTGATCAGTGTCTTACCCACTCTGACCCCTGGACTTTTATCTTCTCCCTTGTACAAAGCAGGAAACCCTCCACACTCCATCAGGCGTGGCCCTGGGCCATTTCTAAAAGGCCTTGGGTATTTGTGTAATTTAATTAAATGTTCCAAAGTACTGTATATACTTTATCTCTTTCAATTCTGTCAAATTCTGGAAAGATAGGTGGCCTTACCTTAATTTTACTGTTCAGACAATGGAAACTGAGAAGCTAAATGATATTCAGAGTTAGAATTCAAACTGACTCTTTGATGGTGCCTTTGTTCTCTTCCCTTCTCAAAGTTTCTGGGATTTCTGAATTTGTTTTCTACCTCTTTTGAGAGGATTTTCGTTAATTGCCTGTTGAATGCTGCTAATCACTAGCCCTCCTTCTTCCCGACTCTTTCTCTCACTCTGTGTCCTGCCTCCCCATCTCTGATGGATGGCTTGTACGTGGGATTATAGAATATTTGTCTTTCCAGGCCCTGGGGAACACTCACCAAACCCTGGGTTGCTGTACCTCCTGCCTAACAGCCCGGGCTTATTTCCACTGACCACAGATGACTAGGTTGTTCAGAAAGGAACCAAAGCCACATCAGAAAAATCTCCCACATTTTCTGGGTCATAAAGAAGTTTCACATACATTGGATATACCCAATCCCAAAAGTAAGCTGAGGGTACCAGCTGTCTCCATTTCCCTTCCTCCTTGCTGTTCTTGCCTTCCTTCCGTGACTGGTGCTGCCTCTACCTGTCCCAACCTTGAAACAGGAGGTGGTCAAAACCTGCTCATTCAATAGCTTTCAGTTGCATTTAGACAAAGCTTTCTTGCTGGTCACCAACTCCTCCTTCTTGGAGGAGTCACCACCCTGGCTCAGGGAAGGAGCAGAAATTGGAAGCAGCAGCTTTGATCTTTTGGCAGCATTTCCACTCAGGCCATTAGTTAAAACCACTTCCCAATCACAGCTATGCCTGTCACTCACATATTAAAAAGAAATTCTTGACAAAACCTAGAGGAAACACTGGGAATCACCCCTTGCCCCTAGCTGGGAATTATCATCTGATTAAATAAGAGCTTTTAATGGATTTTCAACTTGGCAGTTTCTTTTTTGGGATCAGTTTTGATTAATTTTAAATGATTAAAAGTAAGCTGAACATCCTTGAGATATAAAAGCTATTTTTAAACTAACAAACCTGAAATCTCAGTCATTCACTCCCACCTTTTGAGTAGCATAATTCAATGTACTTTGAGCATGAAGATCTGTCTTCAGTGATGCTGCATCTATTAAAACTGCCTTGGAACTCTAGAGTACTTCATAGTTTAGAAAAATATCACCACATTTCTATGGATCTTTGAAGAAGAGGAGACCAAGACCATGAGTGGGAACTTCCTTAGAGTTCATCCACTAGTTATGTAGTGGGTTTGGGACTAGAATGCAGATCTATTTTCTTCTGCTTCCTGCCACCCCAACTAAGACAATAGGAAAAATTCCTCCATGAAAGTGGTTTTAGAAAAAATAATTCCTTACTCATATCTTTGTGTTAAACATTTCTTTGTCTTAAACACCCTTTGTGTTTTAGTGCATGTGTGTTAGTGCTGAGGATTGAACCCAGGGCCTTCTGCATGTTAGGCAAATGCTCTATCACTGAGGTACCTCTTCAGTGCTTGAACCAAATATTAATCTTGCTTCTTGAATTTTTAACAACTATACAATCTGAATGTCCCTGTACACAATCAGAGTCCCAACCGCCACCCAGCCAGCCCACCCCCAGATCAAATGCCGGCTTCACTCCACTTACCTGCCCGTGTGGTCTCTGTCAGTTCAACTGAGTGAGGGGGGCTCTCGTCCTCTTTAAATATATAGAGGCTGTCACCAGCTTGGCCTGTGGAGGGAAGAGTAGGAGGGAGGCCGAGGGGAGAGGATGAATGAGACATGAGTAACACAACTGCTATCAGAGGCTGAAAATAGCCTGTGACCACAGCCCTGAGTTTTGTTCCCCTCACGCCAGCTGGGAGGCTCTTGGAGAACAATATCACTTGGGGTCTGTTTCAATTGTCAATTGCCTATGGTACCAAGAGATCAATTTGTGGAATGTTTATCTTCTGATCAATTGGTTAGAATGGAAAGAGCTAAGAATTTATATCTAAAGTCGTTTCGCCAGGCCCCACACTACTGAATGTCCTGGAAATGGACACAAAGTACCTGCAATGACTCATGAGCCATGTCTGGGAATCCTCTGGAATTCTGAGATACAGGTCACTGTGCTCGTGAGGAGAACTCAGAGCTAAAAATAAGAGTGATGGGGGTCTGAAGCGACACTGAGCTAATCACTTCAAGGAAGCATGGTGGGGAAAGCCAGCTGATCATCAGAGGCCTGTCTGTCTTACAAAGAAAAGTTCTCTCTCAAGTTTTGAGCTACTTTGTTCATCATCTTTTTCTGTTTAAGAATTTGATCCAGCAGTTCATCATTTTTATCATCAAAACATTGTATTTATGACAAGTTAGAGATAGACCCACATTTTCCTTGGAGGTTGAATTTCTCTTTGTCTGGAATGCACAGTTTGGTTTTGGCCAAGCATCATGGATCCACATGAATCATAGAATTTAACAGCTGGCAAGAAGATCAGAGACTTAAAGAACAATTTTTTTTTTATGTTATGGATGGGGAAACTGAGGCACCTAACCCAGAGCATGGCAGGGTCTAGATTGGAACTCAGGTCATTTGTTCCTTATCACTTTTTACTCATGTTGACTTGGATGTCAAGATTGGGTATAGCTGGACTCAAACAGGAGGTTTCTGAAATGTAGCCCTTCAATCATCTTAGCTCTTCAGTTACCTCTCCACAAAGCAATTGGTTGAGGGATGGGAGATTTCACTGTCAGGAGGGTTGTGATTTCACAAAGATAGCATCCATGGCACTCTTCACATGAGCCGTCCTTGGTCAGTGTTCTCATAGAACAGCATGTGTCTGTCTTAGAAATGAGGCAATGATAATTGCCTTGTAAGGTTAAGGCTAGAAAGGACTTCAAAAGTCTTCTCGAATAGTGGCTTTCAAAATTGTGCATGTGTATGTTTATGTTATCAACATTTTATCCATAGATAAATAAACATCAATGTATAAAAAGTTAAAAGACAGAGGAGCCCGTAGTTGGCACCATCATTGCCATGTCCCCTTACCACACCCTGACTTGCCTTTATACCCCTGCCCACAGCAAGACATGTAGATCATCTGGATTTCAGTTTCAGATTGTAATTAGCTGTGGTCATCATACATTAGTAGCTATTTAAATATAATAAATTTTACTATTTTCTTCATTCAAGTGCTTCTTGTATGTTTTTTGTATCTTACGTTTTAAATTCTCTGTGTATGATAGAATACATTATTGATGAACTCGTTGAGTCTGTGTTAGAAACTTACTAACGTCTCTCATAATTGAAAAGGTCTTAGTATTGGTTTTCTAAAGTTGCTGGCACAATATCACATACTGGGTGGCTTAAATACAGAAAAAATTTATTCTAGACAGGGTGGTACATGTCTGTAATCCCAGCTCTTTGGGAAACCAAGCAAGAGGTTTGCTAGTTTGAGACAAACCGAGACCAAGTCTCAAAATAAAAAGGGCTAGTCATGCAGCTCAGTAGTACAGCACTTGCCTAGCATGTGTGAGGCCCGGAATTTTTTCCCTGGTACCAAAAATTTAAAGCATTTTTAAAATAAAGATTTATTTTCTCACAATTCTGAAGGCTAAAAGTCTAGGGGCTATTGGTGTTATTTTCTTCTGCTTGGCTTATAGATATTCTCCTTGTGTCTTTATGTGGTCTTCACTCTATGTGTCTATGTCCTAATCAATCTGTCTCTCTCTATCACTGGGGAATGACCCAGGAACTCCACCAATGAGTCACCTTTTTTATTTTTGAAATAGAATAAAATTTATGTTCTTGCTAAACTGCTGAGGCTGGCCTCAAATTTTCAATCCCCCTGCCTCAGCCTCTTGAACGGCTAGGATTGCTGATGTGGGTCACTGCACCTAGCTCCTAATCTCTTCTTATTAAAGACACCATTCATACAGGTTCAGGGCCCACCCATATGATTTCATTTTATCTTAATTACTTCTTTGAAAGCCGTTTCTCCAAATACAGTATCATATTCTGAGGTACTTGGGGTTTGGACCTAACATGTGAATTTGAAGGAGACCCAATTCAGTTTTAATTTTGCCTTCCATTTGAATGCTAGTATGGTTAAATTTAGAAGTTGTCCTTGATATTTATCCAAAGAACTCAAATCAGCATACTATATTGATACAGCCACGTTAATATTTGTAGCAGTGCAATTCACAATAGCTAAGATATGGAACCAGCCTAGGTGCCCATCAGTAGATGAATGGATTAAGAAAATGTGGTATATAGACACAATGGAGTTTTACTCATTCATAAGGAATGAAATCATGGTATTTGCTGGAAAATGGATAGAACCAGAGAACATTATGTTGCGTGAAATAAGCCAGAATCAGAAAATCAAGAATCAAATGTTCTGTTTCATATGAGCAAGCTAGAACAAATAAGGGGGTAAGGGTGGGGGTCAGATATCATAAAGACAGAGGAAGACCAGCAGAGTAAAGGAGATTGAGGGGGAGGGAAAAGGGAGGAAATACAGAATAAATTGACAAAATTACACTGTGTGCATGTATAAATATACCACAGTGAGTTCCACTTTTATGTATAAGTATAAAGCACAATTTAAAATAAACAAATGAGTGAAAGGTAGAACAGTAGAGTAGGAAAAGGAAGATAGGGGAGGAAGAAGGGGAGAGAAAGGGAGAGGGAGGGCACCTGGGACTGAAATGGAGTAAATTAAATTACATGCATGAATGATTTGGTCAAAATGAACCCAACTATTATGTGCAACTATAATGCACCAGTGATAGAAAAAAGAAAAATTAAGAATCACACACACACACACACACACACACACAAATTTAGGAATACAGATTCAAAATAATTTTGGTTAAGAACTTGAAAGAACTGTTTTTATTTCTTCTAGTAATGTAGATAATGGTTCTAGTTCCAGTCTTGTTCATGTTCCTATTCCATTTTACAAACTTCTATTTTAGGATTTTTTTCTTAAATTTCACAAAAATTTTCTCAGGGTCTTTGAGATTTATTTTGCTTAAAATTTAGTGGGTCATTTCAACTTGAAAACTTATATTTTTTGAGTTTGGAAAAACTTTTTGGTTAATTCTTTCAGTCATTCCTGTATTTAACTCCTATTAAAAGTTAGAATTTCTTTTTCCTTTTATGTATATTCAAGAATTTCAACTGGGTGCAGTGGTAACATGCCTGTAATCCCAGCAACTTGGGAGGCTGAGGCAGGAGGATCGCAAGTCCAAGGCCAGCCTCAACTGTTTTGCAAGACACTGCCTCAAAAAAAAAATTAAAAAAAAAAAAGAACTGGGATGTAGCTCAGTGGTGAAGAAACTTTGGGTTCAATCTCCAGTATCAAAACATAATTCCTTAAATCAATCTTACATAGAACTAATATGTATTTCATCCAAATATATTCTTCTATTCAAATTCACCTTTTAATTTTTAAATAATTCCACTTTTAATTTTAAAGTTTTCCTTGTTTTATGAATGATATATTATCTTGAGTCTCTTTGAGGATATTAATTATATGAATTCAGGAAACGTCTTGTTTGCTATAATAATTCTGTTTTCTTGGAGTTGGTTCTTTCATTGAATTCGGTGTTTCTCTTTCGGGGTGCTTTCTTGTCAAATATATTTCAGATTCTTAGTTATATGATTATCATTTTATTTGAGAATTCCTGTTCATCTCTTGGTGGGTTAAAGGAGCTTTCCCACAGTGATTGGGGGGTGGATAGAGAAGGCTGTCAAGTGTTCTTCTGTGGTGGATTGTCATCTCCAGTGGAATCTTTCAGTCCCTCTGGAGGTCACTGGTTCTCCCGAAAGCTTCACAGGCTTTTCAGTGCCTTAGCCTGGACCACACTGGGAAGAGAGGGAGGCTAATAGCCCAGGATCCATTTTTTTTATGCATCATTTGGTGATTGCCCAGGGCCCTCTCCCACGTATGTCCACCAATTTCAAGTTTGGAATGTCACAGAAACCGCTCTAAGCTCACCACAGTGCTCTGCTGCATGTGATCACAGCTCTTTCTGGTAATCTGTGTCTTTCTGCTTTCTCTCTGGAATCCTTCAAAGCTTCTCACTTGTTGATGGCCACTCTTCTTTTGTTCTTCAGTGTTATTTCCAATTTATTTTCTATTAAAGTTGTTTCTGGATTCCTGTGGTCTGCTGGCAATTTCTAGGTTATGTTATTCAACACAGTAGCCAATAGCCACATGAGGCTATTCAAATTGAAATTGAATAAAATTAGATAAAACTTGTCTCAGTCACCCCATTCCAAGTGCTTCATGACCATATGTGGCTAGTGCCTGCACAGTGGACAGCATAGACAGAGAAAAGTGTGTCGTACAGAAAGTTCTATTGGACAGCACTGCTCTTGAGTTTCTTCCTCTGAAAAAACGAAGAAGTCCCCAAATTCATTTTGGAATGATAAAAGAATAGCGTATACTAAGCATGCTTTGAACACATAGCAGGGGTCTCACTTGATACTAGCTGATCATTCATCCCATAGTAAGTGAATGGATGCTAAAATTCAACTGACTGTTCCTGCCTCACTCCCCTAGGAAAGCCAGAAATGAGTAAAGCATTGAGGAACAGGTCACGAAGGAGACCAGGCAAGAGAGTAAGGGGGCACAGTGAGGGAAATCGAAACATACAGGCCTTGAAACATTGCCTTTATATCCAAAATCAGAAAGAAGTGGGATCTAAACTATAAACCGTGTTTATTTACTCCTCACAATAACTTTGTCA